TGTTTATAGGGCTTTATTAATCTACTGAAGGAATACATTGAAAATCATGTTAGATATTATTCAACTAGTGAAAACAGAGTTAATAAAGTTGAAAAAAAAAAAAAAAAAAAAAAGCCTAGCTTGATTAGGAAATGTCGAGTGCAATTTCAAGGCTGTTGCACAGAACGGGGTTGTGTGGTGACATTGGCCAACGACAGAGGAAATCAGCTTCGCTGTGAAATATCCACCTTGGACATTGATATTGGTCTGCAGTGCAAAGCAGGGTGTCCTGTCACACCAACTTAGCTTCATTACTGTTTGGGTAATTTTTTTATTAGCCTGTTTCTTGCCCTGCATGTGTAAAGTCAATAATAATTTGGGTGATCACCATTTTTCCTTATGACGCCGACCCCAGATTCACAAGGCTTGCTACCAGGTGTGGCCAGATGCTACAAAAATGAGCAGGACCAAATCCCCACCAAGTTGTGAAGAGTCTCCTAAACTCCTGAGATCTGAAGGGCCTGCAGGAGTCTGCATTTTGGAGGCCAGGGATCCACGTCCTTTGCCAGAGCGATGGTTTTACCGACCAGCCTGTCTGCAGATCTAATACCCGATGTCTGGGCATCTGAGTTTGATGCTTTTCATAATTCATTTGTGAGATGTAGCGGCCAAAATGATGACTTTGATTAAATGCTCTGGCCTCCTGAGTAACAAATGCAGCACCTTTCAACAGTTAACTTTAGAGCAACATGGGGATGTGTGCTGTGAGGGTGCAGCCAGTGCATTCTGCTACTGAGCATTGCAGATGGTTCAGGGCTATTTAATTTGTGGAGGAGTGTGTAGATGCTACTCTTGTTCTAATGAAAGCATTTGACTAGTCTATACATTTTGCATGTATATACACACATAGTGCTGAATTTGTTTCTTTGCCTGGGGGCCTAAAGCAACTCTGATCCACGCTGTTGTACATCAGCACTAGTCCCCGAGAAGTGCAGGGGGTCCCGCAGATGTAAATGGCACGTGAACAAGACTGAAATAAGTCACACTATTTTATCAATCATGCTTCAAACTGGGTGTAGAAACTAGCAAGAAGGAGTGAGTAGCCCAAATCTTCTGTTCATGTAGCAGAAAATGAAAGGAGATGTGTAGTTAACTGCTGCTGTGTGAGAAGATACCTGGGAAGATCACTGCTAGAGATGGATGTGGACTGAGGATTTTGGATCTGGATTTAGGTCTGGGCTTTTAGAAATCAAAAAATGTAGTGGTCTTTGCTTTGGGTGTTCTCAGTCACTCATGATTATTTTTTTTAATTCAGCACTGACTTACGTTGCAGTAAGAGTGACCAAACGTTTTGTTTTCTCAGCACTTGCTCTGTGCTGCATCCCCACAAAGAATGGAAATGAAGCATCTGCCCTTTTTCCTTTTCGTAGACCTTGACCTGGAAGTTCACCCATTTCAAAGCCTTTAGGGTAAAAGCAGGAGAAAGAGAGAGTGAAAAAGAAAGCCTAGAAAAAACCCTCTGCAAACTCCATGAACAAACTTATTTCTTTCTACCAATTAAAAACCAAAGTAGAAACAAAACAGAAACCGCCTGGACCTTTCCATTCCTCTTTTATTGTATATTTTAAAACACAGGCAGATGAAAGAGGAACTGAACGGTAACTGTATTCCTCATTATCTAACTATCCTGGGTGCAAGGGCCAGGTTTTGCTTTCAGCAGGAAGGTTGGCCTCGCTGAGGGTCTGCGGGCAAAGCTCAGGAGCAGCTTGTGAGTGCTCCCAGGGAGCTCCGTGTTTGTAGCTACTCAGAGGTATAAGTGTTTTCCAGATCAGGGGTTTAGACAGAGCTGCAGGAACATAAGAAAATTTGTGGCTGCAGCCCCAGCAGGCTGATAACGTAACTGAAAGCTGCTGCATGAACACAGGCTCCGGCTGCAAGCACCAGAGGGTCTCCCTGAGGTTTGGCTGCAGAGCTGGACAGCAGTGGGAAGGCTGGGAAGGGAAAACCTGAGAGGCAAAAAAACTAGAACAGAAGGGCAGCAGCTGAGCACAGGGAGGGAGAAAACCAGTCCTATGAGCAGGATGCCAAAGCCTCCATCACACTGGTGTGGATAGATGATGGCAAACACGCTTGGTACAACACAGACATGGAATGATGCATTTTTAATGAGTCCTGGCCTCACAAAATACGCTATACAGCACGCTGGCTGAGAGAGACCAGGAATGTCACTACAATTCCTGCTTTTCCTTGAAGCGGTTTGGCTTCTGCATCGTGAGTTGTGCCACCAGCTTGAGCACAGACAGGTGGTTGGCCTCTTTTTCCATAGCTGCATTGATTGGTCTTACTCTCAGCCAGGTCAGGTGGAAATAGCACTAAGAGATGCCGAGTGTGTACCTTCGAGCACCTCGTACTGCAGGCGGTCCCAGAAAGGACAGGAGGTGGGAAAGAATGGAACTTGCTTTGGTTGTAACTCTAAACAAAACACTGGTCTTTATTTTTCTGCACAGGAGCTGTGGATGTCAAACTGGTCCAGAGGCAGGGATCTTGGCTGGTACTGGAGGGACTGGCAGGGATGGGAGCAGAGGCCCAGGACCGGTGCCAGCTCTTCCATCAGGCACTGTGACTGGGGAAGCGAAGCCTGGCTGCCCACGCAGTTCCTGGGGAACAGACCCATTGCTGCCCATATCCATGCCTTCAAAAGGGAGATGAACCCCGTGGGGAACCTTCTGGGGCAAAACCACCTCCACAGGCTGGAGTCAGCTCTCCCGGGTGAGCAGAGCCCCTGTTACGCAGCCGGAGGGGTAAGAGATCCCTCTGGGAAGAACATGGGAATGAGCCTGTCTCCCGAGCCAAAGCCTTTCTGGTGGTCCCTGCCTTCATGGCCCTCCCCACGGCTCCTCTGCACATCCAGAGCTGGGGGCATTGGGTCTGACGGCTCAGAAGAAGCCACATAGCTCCTCTGACCTGCTGCCTTCAGCTCGGGTGCCAAGAGGGTGGCCACCAGCTCCTGTGGCCCAGGCTGCTGGGGGGGACAGGGGGGCATGGGGTGAAGGTGTGAGGTGCTTGCCCTCCCCCAGCCACCTCTAGCCCCTCTCGTGAGCTTTGTGCCCCGGCGGCAGGATGGGGACAGCTGCTTTCACAACCTGGCCGTGTTGTCACTCACATCCAGACATTTCCTGTTATCTAACCTCAGCCTTATCTTCCCCATTCGCAGCTTCCTCTCGAAGGAGGAGCGGCCCCTTCAAAAACGAGCTGTGTGCCTGGGCTGTGCCCCCCACCGCGCTCCTCCTGGGTGGCCACCAGTGCTGCTGCCTGCCCCACGCCGTGCCAGCCCCACACCATGCCAGCCCCACGCCATGGGCCAGGCTGGCTCAGCACGGTAGGTGCCAGGTCCCTGTCCCGCCTGGTGGAGGGGGTGGTTGGGGACAGGGGAGGATTAGACCCTCGGGGGCGACCTCTCATTTCTCCTCTGGGAGGTCCCAGAGGACCACAGAGGTTGGGACACCAAAACCCGGGGGGTGTCTACATTCCTGGTATGGCAGAAAGCTCTCCTCCCACCCCGCATTACAGGTTGAACTTTGGGGGGACCAAAGCCAGCTGGGGTTTGAACTGCCTCCCCTTGGCATCAGGAGCAGTTCTGCCTGAGCCAGAAGAACTTTTTGGTCGCTCCCTTCACAAGGAAAGTGGTGGTGTTGGGCTGGGTGGACTTTGGTGAGGGTGGATTGGGGGATGTGAATGCCGCCGGTCCCAGCTGGGGACTGTGATTCATTGACGAGGTTGAATTACAATTAATAGCAACGGCAATGTGTACGTAGCCCTGTTTGGTACCAGGATGCACATGAGTGTGCTCCCCCAAGCTCGCACGCACACACACGCTACCGATGAGTTGCTGGCAGTAGGGAGATTTTGATCTAAATTAGTCATAGATGAGACAGCGCACAAAGAGCAGGGGAAGTTGTGGGATGGAGGAGGGTTTTACTGGGGAGAGATGGTGTCCCAGCTGGGTGCGAGCCTGCTCTTCAGCTCCTTTTCTGGCTCTCCCGATGGCGTCAGGACGGCAGACAAAGGTTTACTGTGCACCCCTCTTCTCTCCTTTTGGGCGTTGGGGTGCGAGCAGGAACAGGGACAGAGTCCAGCGCTGGGCCAGGGGCTTAGGTGAGTGCAGGGGCTGCGGGAGGGTGTCCCTCCAGGGAACGGGGGGGTTTATCGGGCACTTTTGGGTGAGCCATGGGTGCCAGTTGAGGTGTTTCTGGTTCCCAGCCTCTCGAGCCACCACCAAAACCCCCAACTTCCTGGGTGAAGTGTTTGCTGGCTGACGGAATGGCACTTTGCCTTTCTGTCCTGTACAGACCTGGGGTCTGGATCTGGCTTTTGGTGGTCCCCAGCCTCAGCAGTGCTTGATCTGTCCTCTGGTGGGGCAAGCTTTTGCCATGAATGGCTGCCAGTCAGGAGAGGGGACAGTTTGCTCCTGGGTGCTCAGCGAAAACCTCTCCAGAATTCAGGTCTGTGTCAGGAGGGGGTTGGGTCCATGCACCTCTGGAGACCACGCAGAACAAGGGCACCTGAGCAGCATCAGCCTTTCCCTGCGGTCGGTGGTACCCCCCTGCCAGGGGTGCTGAGGGTGTGTGGGGGATGTCAGGGTAGGAGGTATGAAACCGTGTGGTTTTTCGTTAAAAGCAGGGCATGTTTCTTTGCTGGGGAGAGCGCTGAATTATGGCTTTCACTTGTTGGAGCAAATTTGAAGAGGAAGTTGGGACTTGTAGGACAAGATGGAGGAGAAGTTTATGGTGGAGCAGGGCTAGGCAGAGGGGGGTGTCCACCTTGGGCTGAGGAAGGAGGGGTTGCTTTTAGTCTTACGACAGCTGTTGGGGTGTCAGGATGGCACGGATGGCAGCAGTGGGAACACATGGCTGGTTTCATGCTTCCCGCAGTTGCCTGGGGACAGTCCTCTCTGGAGCACTTTGGGCTCTCTCTCACTTATGTCCTCTCTAAAGCTGGGACAACTGCCGCACTTGCCAGATCATGGTTTGCAGGAGCTTTCCTTAGGACAGGGCAGCTGCTCACCACACCGTCCTGTAAACTGCAGCCCAAAGACAGCTGGAAGCCCAGGGTGAGGTGACAAGGGACATCCCAGTCACTCTAGAGCTGGAGGGAGAGGGCATCACCTCCTGCCTGATACCTCCTGGTTTTGATGAGGGCAAGGGACAAGGGTATCACAAAATCTGTTTCCCTGCACTGCTGTTGCCCTGCTCGTGCTGGGGAACAAGTGATTTGTATGCCACCGAGACGGCTCCATCTTTGCCCACGTGAGCCCTCTTGGAAAGCAGAGCATGGCCTCGTTGGCAGCAATAGCATCCTTCGCCTGGAGTTGTTCCCTGTGGCAGAGCAGGCAGCCACGGAGCTGCTTTGGCACCTGCCAGCTAAGGAGCAGGAGTTATTAATTAACTGGCTGCACCATTTGGCCTCTTTCTTTGTTTAAGTGGTGTTAACTGTCTCATCCAAGTCAGCAGATGTGCTAGAGAAAGCTATGCTTTGGGTATGCAAACTGGGCTTGCCTGCGATGAAGCAAGCCCTTTGGGCTGCAGCTCTGGGCTCTGCTGGAGCCTGCCTGATAGATGAGATGGACCTTACTGAGCCAAATATTCCAACATTGGTCAGGCAAAGCTCCCAGCAGCGTCAGCTGCAGGGCTGGGAGCTCAGGAAGGATCCTATAAGGAGCAGGACGGCATCCAGAGGAAGTCTGCCACGAGCAAAGCCTCATTTGAGTTTGTTTTTTTCATAAAAAAGGCTTCCAGCTCCCTGGGAGAAGCACACCCCAAGGTAATTGGTGGGCGGGGGTTCAGCGGACCCTCTTGCCCACAGAAATGGGGTGGATTCTTGCTTTCAATCCAGGCTGAGATTTGGGTTTCATTAAATGGGAAAGCAGAGATGGCCTCCATCCCAGTTCAAGTCCTGTGTAATGAGTGCTGGTCTCCAAATGGCTGCAGCCTGCAGCTTGGGATCCTGCCACTCAGCATGTGAGAACCACACAGCCACACTCTTGTGCATGCTGTTATTTAGAGTATAGAGCCAAGTCTATCCAATAATTGTACTTTTCGCTTGCTTTAATCACGAGTTGTGGGGGGAATATGACAGGCCTGTAAAAATACCTGGGTGATGACACGCAGCCCAAGGTTTTTGTGACTTTGATAGGGGACTGACCAAAGAATGCAGGAAGAGGAACTCTTTCTGTGTCCCCTCAGAGTATGCAGTTGATGGCTCAGTCTGTTTTATAACACTGAGCTTTTTCTTGGAAATACCCACTTCAGCTTGAGACCAGAAGCTCTGACAATGACAAATCCATCCAGATCAGATACTATCGTTATGGGGTAGGGTAACAAGCTCCATTCCCATCTGCTGATAGAATTATCTCCACTGTGTACCCTCCTCTTATCTGTCACTGACAGCAACGTTTCAAGTGGCTGTTTTTCCCCTCAGAAAGCCACAGTGGGGGATTATTTTAAGCTGTAATTGCAGAAGCAGTGCTGTCTTGTTTTTTGTTCGTTCATTACTTTTTTTTTTTTCTCACCCTCTCAAGCCCACATCTGCCACTGTTAGAAATCAGCATTGAAGCTGAGGGAAGTCTCATCACTGATACCTGCTGATGACCCCGCTTGGCCTTTCTTTGTGCAGCCTCCCCATCACACTTCAATATTGCTGAGAGTCCTTTTGGGGACAACAGGTTCATTTTTCTTTTACCCCTGTGCTCTCGTTAGTGTGTGGTGTCTAAATCTCACTGAAAATCGTTTTCAGGCAGAGAGAGTGCACCCCTGCTTCATTAGCATCCACAGCAACTCTGCAAACCGTTCAGAGCTGGTTAAAAAAACCTTTTACTTTTCATGGTACAGCAGAATTCGATGTGAAAGAAGAGTAGTCTGACCAACCCCACTGACAGACAGACCTGAGACAGGGACCCAGGTGTCTTTAGGACATATGTCTGTTGCTAAAACCCACAGATGAGAGTATTTGGGAATAAGAAATGTTACCCCAGATCCTTGGCTACATTAAAACATTTGCACAAGGGTGACAAAATGCAGGGAAGGCCCAAATCTCCAAGGATGCCTGGCATCCCTCTCCCATGGCCTGGGCCTGGCTGCTTCGTGCTGCAGAGAATATTGCTACCGTGGCGCAAGAACTTGGGAGATATAACAGAAATCAGTTTTAATTGTGCTCAAACCAGTATGTCTTTTGCTAGGCTGATCTTAAATCAGCTTATTAACACTGTTTTCGAATGCTCATGAAATACACATGCTTCTTTTATCCATTGCAACATAATTCTTTTATCTACCTTGGTTGAAATGCATTCTGAATTAGGAGCCAGAACAAAGAACTGGCCACTATCTACATCTCACCAAAGGCCTGATGTGGAGGGCAGGGGGAATGTAAGAATTGCAAAGCCTTTGTAGTAACCTGGTCTAGAAACTGATTATATCTTTAAAGGTGTAGCTGTTCCCTTGCTGTTAAATCTTATTTCACTCTCTGCTGGTTTCAGAGCACGTATAAAGAATATGTATTTGACATTACCATTTTTTATTTTACGCTTTCACGTGAAAAAAACCTTCCCCTTTCCAGGTATATTTCTATGTGTGAAATATTAGATTAGATACTATAGTCATCTGTATGAATTAGAGTCCTAGAAGTTAGAGATAGCAAAGGGTTAATGGAGAATGCTTGTTAATATACCTCAGCTAAATTCCATGTATGTGTCTCTAATGGTCTACCTTCCAAAATTTAGTTAATGTATCCATTTTAGTTTTTCATTTTGATACTAAAAATAGCGCAGCTGCTCTCTCAGAAACTGGTGCTGCTGGTCATGTGGAATTAAAATGAGGGGACTGGGAAGGAAGCAAAAAGCACCATGCTTATGACTCGGCTATGCCTGGTTTAGGAGCCATGATCAATTTTTCTGGAGAGTTGCACAGTATCAGAATTTCAAATCTGTTTTTCGGCTCAAATTCTGAAGAGTCAACATCTGAAAAGGACACAGAGCACAGTAATGCTTAGCCATATCTTCTCTTGTGTATGTTTAGTTATTTAATGTTCTTTTAAGTGCATTTCTGCATTTGACACACACTTTTGTTAAAAGAATAAGAGAACAAATGGCATTTTTTGGCCCTTGTGCAAAGGAATAGTGTGGGGAGACACACACATGTTCACCCTTAAATGCTGGATTATGTCAGCATCTGGGGATAGAAAACTCCATTTATTGCCAGAGAGGCTTTTTCTGCGTGCTGGAAACAAAGCAGAAGGGGGTTAGTTTGATAAGGGAAGAGAAAGTTTCACTTCATGCCCAAAGTTCAGTGTTTCCCTACATAGCAGTTTGGTTTTCATGTAACATCATGGTCTTTACAGCGATTCTGCATCACAGAACAGCTTCCTGCTGGCAGGCAGAGATGGGACTGGAGTTTGAGGGGCCAAGAGGTTGCCCTGGCTGGTTTTTTTGCTGCAAAAGCAAACACATACAGCACTGGACTTTGACAGCTGACCTTGCTTCCAGCAGAGTCAACGATGAACCCCTACGTGTATGCCCAGGGGCAGAGCTGTACCTCTTTTTCAGATGGGTTTCAAGAGGTGCCTCTCAGATCATAGGTCTAGGTAAAAAAAAATAAATGATTTTAGCTGTTAGTGGTACAATAAGAGGTAAAGCCTCGAGCCTGTTCCTGGCAATAGAAATTTTGTCTCTGGCATGCATAGACCCACCAATCTCTGATAAATACAGAGGCTCCATCCCGCGTTCTTTGGGATCTCTCAGACTGGTTACAACTGAAATAATCACATATCTGGAATTAGGCACTTAGATGAAGCACCTTACAGTACAGGGACACTTGGCCATGCGTGGCTGCTTGACACAAGGAGCCAAATAGAAGGAATTAAATGTGAGAAGCCTGAACAACTTGTTTAAATTTGGGAGGTTAAAGATGAAAGCTGTGAAAAGTCTGTTAGATTATCATGCCCTTATCTCTGACCAGTGCAAGATTGCTCCCCTGCAATATGTTCTCTGGGTATTTGTCCGAACTTTGTGTGTCTAGAGAGACATTGGTCTTTGTGATGCTGTACCCGACCTGTGTGGCTGAGTGTTCGCATGGACATTTTGTCAATATTTCAAGCTACAGCTGTAGCCATATAGCTAAGGCAGAAGGTTACTATGGAGCTCTCAGCATCATTTTCAGCTCCATAGAGCTTCAGCTTTTGAATTAATATAGCAGACATTTTCCTCAACGTAAGACGGTGTCTGCTCGTGTAGGTCGGTCTCACCCAAAGAAGAGCATTGAGTGGGGAGGGAATACGGGAAGGATAATGATAATTTTTGCGAACTGGAAAAAAGCCTCAGAAGTTAACAGCAGCTTCAGCCCTTCTTTTCCCTTTCCATTTGCCCAGGATGGCGCTCCGGCGAGGACCTGCGGGACCCCCGGCGAGAGGTGCAGTGCAGCACTGCGTGTATTTGACAAGCTGAGTCCGACACTCAGTGTGCAGAGTGTCAGTTTGTCAAATACCCCAAGTGAGGCATCTGCTGAGCAGCGCGGCGAGGGCACCGGCTCCTTCCTGCCCCTATTCTGCCTCTCTCCCCAAGCCCAGCGAGGTATTGAGAACCCATCCCGTCATTAATGAATGCTTGACTCCCCATCCTGTGCTGTCAGCTTTCCCTTCCACCCCGATTTCGGGAGCATCTCTTGGGGTACTCCTCCTAACAACGGCAACTCCGTACAGAAGTGGTGCTGGTACAGTTCCTCTGCGCCGTGAAAGCAGAGAATTGGGGCCTGGCTCCTTATTCTGTGCAGGCAAAGACAACACTGTTCTCTCCCACGGCATTAATTTGCCAGCTCTTAATTAATAATCCTGCTCAGTTAACAAGGATTCTGGCAACTGTAATCACAACATCATGGGTAAGGGCAGCATTATCCGTCATACAGCATCTTTTCTCTGAACATGTAAGAATCTTCTTTTATTTGGAGTACAAACAAATGAGCCTGCTGATTAACTTCCCTCTAGCCCATTAACCAGTGAAAAATGCATGTTTGCTCAATCCATTTTTAAATTCGGCTACGGAGTCCACCACTTCTCCTTGAAACCTTGCTGTTTGGAGAAGGCTCCTTGTTTTCAGATGGTTAGTCCTAGTCAGCAAGGTTGCTTATTGCTTGCCTTGCAATTTCTGCTGCCTAGTTAAAGTAATTCCCTCTAAATCATCCCACTCAAAGATCTAATGATTGGTAAGCATTTTTAATAACCGACTAGTAGCATAGCAGATCTGCAGAGTGAGATATCTCAGGGTGAGGGGAATGACAGAGGGAGAGTGCACAGCCCAGTTTGACAAATCGAACCCTCTGAAAGCATTTAGCATTGAAAACTCAGAAACTAAGAAAAAAAAATCCCAAGACCCTACTGATTTGTTTTAGGGTGGTACCACCAACAAATTTTGCAGTATTTGAGAATATTGATAAGCTTTCATACTAAGCTTTCCAGGATTTTTTTTTTTGTTGCAGCTATTTCTTGCTACATATTTTGAAGAAGTTGGGGTTTGTACAAAGCTGGGACAAATGAATGCATCTCATTGCCTAAGCAAATTTTGTTCTGCTTTTCAAATAGGTCCTATCAGTAGGGCTTATTGTGCGCTCCTGGACAAACATGGTCCTACTCCTTATGACTCACCCTCCCGTGGTCTCTCTCAAGCACCTACTCATGACTCACAGACATCACCCTGATCTTTATCACTGAGGTCAGCTTCAAAAGAGAACAAAGTCTATTATTTCAGGGTTCGTTTTTTCCCCAGTGGATCCTTGTAGCAGGCAGCTGTGTCAACCCCAATCCTTTCTGCCATCACAGACCTCAAGGTTTCAACAGACCTGAACTCTTCTGCACCACAGGTAGCCAAGTGTTTGTTTATGCTCTTCATCATCGTTTTCTCATGCATTTCCAGTTTTTACTTTCAGTAGAGTTTGCCCCTAGGATTTTTAGATAACTCCCCCACCCCCTAGTTCCTCCTAGGTGGCTTGGGAGGAAGGGGAAGAAAGTTAACCCCTTCGTCTCCTACTAGAACAAATACCAAATCGTGGTGGGACAAATTCCTCTTCCCGTCTCCCTCCTGAGATCGGCAGGTTCAGGAGGACTCTGAAGGCCAGGGAAAACCTGGCAAGTGTAAAAGCCAACAAAAGGCTATCTTCTTTGTACACACACTTCAGTTGCTCTGAAGCCAGGGGAGCCACAAGTCTCATGACACTCTGCTGGCCACTAGAAATAGCACGTTTTTTTGGAGGTGGTGTAGTTTCGGAGCGGAAGCTGAGGTTTCCCTTCTGTGCTGGAGCTGAGCTGGTGCTCAGGGAGGGGATGAGTCACGTCACTGGGTGAGTGACCAGCTCAAGGAAAGGAGAAGTTCTTTTGTTTGACAGTGATACGACACAGCAAAGTCCTCCATGACTGTCAGAAGAAAAACTATCTGTTTCCAACAGGTTTTACTACCAAGCATGCTAAAAATATAAATAAAAAAAATAATTACACACTTGCTGCATGGGGAAAAACAACAACCTCGGCACTGGAAAGAAGCTTTTTGTCTTTCCACTGTTCTACTGCTTATGACCAAAGTCGGTTTGCTGCCCAAACCTAGAGGCAGTGCCAACATGAGGTAGGTAGAGTCTGCTCCAGCTGGAGTATCTGCTGCCCCTGTCTTGGATCCTGTTGTGTTCTTCCTCTGCAGCTTCTCCCGGGCTTCAGGTCCTCTGAGGAAGTTGCCTGGACCTCCCCAGAGCCCATCAGTGCTGGGAGGAATAAAAAGTTGGAAAAAATCATGGTGTTACATAGTCAATGAGGGAAGTTGGAGCTGGGAGCTCCAATAGCAGCAAATCTTGCATGAAACACTAGGCTAATTGAAAAATAATGAGGCTGGCACTTGGGGAGTAAAAGAGATCTTCATGTCCTGTGTTTTGGGCCTGGATTTGCTGAGGTGAGGATGGGGAAGCTGAGAGGTTTTCAGTTCCCTTTTCACACGGCATCGACCTCGCATCACAGATTCCTGCCCTGCGTAAGTGTGGCCGCAGCTCCCCATTCCCCTCACTTCTTTAGCTTGGCACCACCTCTGAGACCACTGACACCAGCTCCAGGCTGGTGTCTCCAAGTCCACCTTCTGGGAGTGTATGTCCTACCTACAGCAACCACACTGCTGGGTGGGGTGAAGTACCTCACCCCAGGTGCAAAGCACGGGAGAACCTCACACACATTTCTAATGGTCCCCACGCTTCTTGCCCTTGGTCAGGGCACAGCTCCTCTCCTCTCCAACTGGGATGGGGGGAAAGGACCAGGTCTAAGGGCTAAAAGAGCAGTGCTTGGAGTGGATCCTGGCACTGCCATAACCCCAGCAAAGACAAGCCCCTAATTCCCCTGGGAAGCACAGGGGTCTGACACACCTGCAACACACCATCCCTGCCCACCCTTTGCTGTGCTTATAAAACCTCCATGATACAGGCAGGAGACTTTTCTCTCTGATCTTGCCTGATGATAACCACCTCATGTCCCGAAGAAGAACTGTCATTGTAATTCAGGGCACTAAAGGTAAAAGCGAGACTCTTCTTCCCAGCGCTCAGGCCATAAAAAGCTTGGTGAACCTGCCATTAGGCTGCTGACCTGGGAAGGGAAGATCCATGGTGGCAGGCACAAAAGCCATGTGGGTCCAAGTCAGCACCAAGAAGGAGGGCTTGCGTGACCTCCCCCAGCTGCACTGGCTGATTTAATAAAAGCCAATAACTCTCCCTGCAAATCTGCTTTGCTAAACCAGGTGGCATCCTCTCTTCCCTGCCCCTGGTCCTCTTGGGGCCTGTAGGCCGGAGGGACGGACGCTGCCTAGAGGTCTGGAACAGACAGGAAGGGCAGAGCAGAGCACAGCAGCACCCCAGCACCACCAGTACATGTAAAAGCCAAACCATTAACAATGAGGAAGCAAAGCAGGCTGTTGAGTAGCTGAGTGTATTGCAGGAAACGCACTTCAGCTGGAGGCAGGAACAGCTAAGCAGGCAGCCTTGCTGGTTTTGCAAAAAGGAACTTCTCTTCTAATTTATTTATTTTTGCCAGAGATCCAGGAATGGCCTGGAATGGGTTTAAGCAGCAGCGACAGACTGCACCCTGAACAGTTTCTCAATAATATCCTGTTAATTTCAGAGTTTAGTTAGTTAGAAGGGGCCTAGCTAAAAAAGTAAAATTACTGAACAGAAAATTAGTTCTGTTTTACCTCAAACCAGGACACACAGCAAAGCCTGCACCCCATTAGCACAGGGCTCACAGTCTGGGGACTTCTCTTTAGGACTGCACAAAATCCAGGGTTAATCAAAGTGGTGGGTTTTGCATCACGGACCGTATACTTCAGCCCTCCTGCTTGAGGGGAAGACTTGGAAAATGCAAAGTATAGCTTTGTAGCTCAGGAACCACCTGGCAAAAAGGAGAACCCAAAATACACCTTCCAAGAAGAGTCTTGAACCTAATGCAGCGCATGTGGGCTTCTTATTTTAAAGGTGATCTTGTGATTTTAGAGCAGTCAGCAGCTGAAGTTTGGCTGATCTAGAAAAGACACCGGCCAAAGAGCTCCAAACTAGAAGTGAAGGAAAATAATGCCGCCCCACTCCATCCCCTCCCCAATCTCTTGAGCACACATCTGCAGTGCTTCCTCACTTCTTCTGCCTTACAGAGGGCTCCCTCAGCTTCAGGCATCCTCCCTGGGAAGTGGTGTCTCTCGCTGAGCCTTGACATGCTCCAGCTGAGCAAGAGTATTTCTTTGCTACAGGATCTCCAGTGCCACTACTGGAGATAGACCCTGTTTCTCACCCCCCATGTCTGCAAAGCCCCCTCTATTGCTCCTTGCAAACCTGCAGCCCTAAATGTGCCCAGCTCAAGCACTGATGCTTCCAAACAGCTCACTGAAATGAGAGTTTTTCCATTGTTTCCAGTCCTCAGCCTGACATTGTCACTGTTTGGAGCGCTGTGTCTTTCTGTGCTCTCACTGCAGGAGTAGGTGGCTGCAGGTTTGTGATTTTGCATGTGGAGGCAGCACCAGGACCCTGACAACAAGCTCTGGGGGCTGTGGTGAGGTGTAGCCATGCCAGGAGTCCCTTGGGGGCTGATTTGGTGCCCCCTCCTGTCCTCTCCTCTTTAAAAAGCAAACCCAAGTCAAAAGCCCAAGACAAACTGTGGCCATGACTGTCCCCCTGCCTGTTCTGCAGAATTAAATCAGAAGGCTGAGAAAAAACATAAATTAGCAGGGAACAGAAAAATGATGGCGCTGGATGGTGAAATACCAAGGAAGTCAGAATTCACATGCAACAAAATCCTTTGAAGCCTTTTGTATTTGCCCTGGGAAAGAAAATACATTGCACCAAGCAAGCATTTTTCAAGGCATTTTACAAACATAAGCACTCACAGCATCCCCATAGCACAACTCAGCATTAATATCTCTGTTGTAATCAGACGGATTGACTCGTGTCCCACCGAGTGAATCAGCGTCAGTCTGTTGTGCCCAGGGAGATCCCTTGCTCAATCATTATTCCAAATGCCTCAAATTTATCTCAGTTTTTTTTATGCCTCTGGCGCCCACACCATAAAAATAAAATGCTTCAACACAAATTCTGCTTTTCTAGGAGAAAAACAGGGGGTAGCAGTTAGGAGGCTCATCACCTAGAATCATAGAATTGTCTAGGTTGGAAGGGACCTTTAAGACCATCTAGTCCAACCATCACTGGGGGACACCTACGGGGACATGCCCTCTTCCTCTGTCAATGAGTTCCAGTCTGAGAGCAAAAATGACATTCCTGGGCCATCAGCCCCCCTCTGTGGTCCCTTTACCATGCTCTAACAAAAAAGACTCAAGGACAAGCAGGATGTACAACCAGAAGTGATTGAGCTGTAAAAGCCAGACGACATCCCTTTCCAGCACAAACCCTGGCTCCTCGCAGTCTGGGATGTCCTAACAGGGGAACATGCACTTAAAAGTTCACCTTGCTGGTATTATGGGATAGCATCATTGCACCCAGCTATACCGTGATTTTTCAGGCTTAAAGACATCTCTGTTTCCACTCCTTCAGATCCTCTCTTTCTCACCTTGTTCCTTCAGGCTGCTCAGAAATTGTTCACTCTCTAAAAGTAGGCGGATAACCACTTTGCTGAGGGTTTCTGCCCCAACAGGCAGGCCCTCATTTGTCAAAGCCCAAGAAGGTTAAGTAGTTCCCCTGGGATAAAAAAAAGCAGCGAGACTGGTAGATTCATCAGAGCAGAAGGCAGACAGGAAGGAGAGCTTCCTTTCCTTTGGTAAAGTTTACCACTCACTCTCTGCAGCCCTGCATGGCCGCTCATGTGGAAAAGCTGATACTCTAGTAATTTTTTTCTGTTGCAAATTCCACTTCCATTGCACTCATAAGGTTCTCATACTCAGGATTTTTCCTGATGCATATGCCGTTATAGCCATTGTCTTTCATGGTCAAAGTGTCATTGGATGTTTCAGCCTTAGAATGTGTCTCCGTCTGTAGACAAGTATAAGGGGCTTCCTCATCAGTCTCCAACCTCGTGACATCTGCGGTGCTATGGGTGAAACAACAGAGAGAGAGACATCATTGAAAAGAATTACTAAATCAGAAGTAATTTGATTTACAACGTAGTCAAAGACAAGATCTACCACATAATCTAGGGAACAGCAGAATTTATATTAATCTAGTGAGGTCCTGGAAGGCTCTGAAAGACACTACAAAGTAACATTAGGAGAATTATACACATAAAAATAGCAATAAACAGTTAACATCAGTACCTTATACTCTCATGGCATTATCATATTATACCCAGCACAGTTACCAAAACAGTCTAGACTTTAGAAAGTAGTAACTGGGAATGCCAGTTATTACCAGAATTCCAGAAAGTGATACTGGAATAACCAGTAATGACTGGGAAAAAATGGCAATGTGTGAGGCTACAGTCAGCTAAGGTATGTCTCTGAATAGGAAAGCAAGATGAAGAGGTTAAAGGCTGAGGTTTGGACAGGGCAGAACGTATATTTGTATAATTGTAAGCAAATAGGAATAGGAATTGCACAAAATAATACTTGGATAAGCAATGGGACATGTTTCCTAAGGAGAAAGGCATGGGTAGAAGGCAGTTATCTTGAGGGGAGAGCTGAGAATTCCTGTTCTTTTCCTTCGTGAAATAATGGCAGGAATTTACCACAGAGAACAGTTTCCCCATCTGCAAGGAGTGAAGGACCCAGAGTGTCTTTATCTCATTCTGACCTATTAAAGAACAGACTCTTGCAACATCCTGCACTAAAATGTTAATTTTGTCACGCTACTAACGAAAAGGACTGTCAAAAGTAGTCAGATCCTCCCCCTGCAAGTCAAAGAAATCTTTGGCTTTTCACTGAGCAAAGAGGCTTTTTGGAAACAGACATGAGTGTGATGTCCTTAAAGTCTTCTTAATGTCCCAGGTGAAAAATTGTACTCACAAAGCAACTTCATAGATAGTGTCTGGGGAAAAAAAAAAAAGAATCAAAGATGTGCATCAACGTATTTTATGATTAATGTGCCACAGAAAACAAAACAAAACAAAACAAAACAAAACAACTAAAAAAAAACCCCAACAAAAACCCAGATGCTCCCAGGTATTCCCACTTTCAGCAATAATCCTCCCACCCTGCTCCTCCCTAGAAGGGACCAGATGGGGCTGGGGCCAAGGCTGGGGGATGATGATGATGATGGAGTGATGGAGGGGGAATGGGGGTGATGATGCTGATGCTGGTGGGGATGGGAGTGATTGGGATGATGATGATGATGGGGATGGGAATGATTGGGATGATGATGGGGATGGGAGTGACAGGGATGATGATGATGGGGTTGATGGGGAGGGGGGACAGGGGTGTCGGGACCCCTCCCGCCCCGTCCCCTCCCACTAGGGCTGCCCTCTACTGCCCGCCCCGTCGCGTCCCGGTCCCGGTCCCCATCCCCATCCCCCCCCCGCCTCTCACCCTCCTTCTTCCGCAGCCGCCGCCACAGCAGCCCGACCACCAGCGCTCCCAGCGCCGCACCGCCCAGCGCGGCCGCCAGCGCGTAGAGGTGCGGAGGATACGCGGCCGGCGGGGAACCTGCGGGCGGGAGCGGCAACGCTGTGACAGCGGCGGGAGGGGAGAGCCCAGCCAACCCCCCCCCCTCCCCGCGTCCGACCCCCGCTTGGGCAGAGGCTTTTTTTTGGGGAGGGGTTTTCCCTCCCCAAAAGGGTTTTGCTCGCAATCAAAGCACTTCAAAAGCGCGTTTCGGGGCGTTTTGCCCCGAAACGCGCTTTTGAAGTGCTTTGATTGCGAGCAAAACCCTCAGTTCCAGCCTGAGCCCGGCCAAACAAAATCACAGAATGAGATGGGGTGGGAAGGGACCTCTGGAGATCATCCAGTCCAACCCCCCCACCAAAGCAGGTCCACCCAGAGCAGGTTGCACAGGAACGTGTCCAGGAGGAATTGGAAATGTCTCCAGAGATGGAGACTCCACCACCTCCCCGGGCAGCCTCTTCCAGGGCTCTGCCACCCGCAAAGTAAAGAAGTTCCTCCTCATGTTTCGGTGGAACTTCCTGTGTACGAGTTTGTGCCCATTTCCCAAACCGTGAAAGCTGGGGCTGAGGTTGGCATTTTCAGCCCCTTTCAGCCAGAAATGCAAACTACAGGCAATAAACACACTCCGACTGGCCTGTGGAGGGCAACTTCTGCCTAGAGAAAACCCGATGTTTGATTCCTTCCCCGCAGCATCCCACAGCATTCATCAGCCTGCTCTGGCTGGTGCAAATCTGGTGTTTTCCAGCACCAAAATGCCGCTCACCCGTGGCCATGGGAAGCCCCTCTGAAACAGCATCCCTCCTGGAGGCCAGCGTGGCTGCTGTGGGCAGATCTGCCAAAACACAAGGGTGAAAGCGTTGTGACCCTTCCAGCAGCTGCCCTGTGGTGTCAGGAGAGCTGGGTTTGCTCTGCAAAGCAGCAGCAGGGCTGGCAGCGATGTCCTCTCGCCCGTGAGCCCCTCTGGTTGCCCTCCTGGGCTGCAGGTAACCACTGCCCTGAAGTTGCCTGCCCTGTTTTGAGGAGCACGCTGTTTTGATGCTCTCAGGCTAACAGGTCGGAGGTGGACGGAAACAAAACACCCCCTGGACCTCCCTCTTGCAGTGACAAGCCAGATTTTTATCCCTGTCGTGTCATCCTGTGTGCGTTCTACCAGCAGTCTGGCAGGCAGCATGTGGTATTTGTGTGTCCCCCCGGGTCCCTGGCAGCCCTGGCCAACGCGGTACATCTCCAGACACCAGCACGTGTGGCTGCCTACAGCCTGGCCAGGGAGTGCTTTGGCTTTGCCTCGCTGGGACCCATCCAGGTTTCCCCAGGACTTTTTCTCCTACAGTGACCCCCTGGCTGGTCTGGGGTGGTTTCCCGTTGGCAGCTGCACCTTGAGGCTCCCTGATGCCCCAAGCCAGGTTTCTTACCCCAGGTGACCTCCCGCTGAAGCTGTGCAACCCCCTGGTTTCCCACATCGTGGTCCCTCTAGCACGGGCTCTGCTGCTGTCCCAGGGGACTCCAACCCCGCTGAGTACCTGCACCCAGAGGACAGGGCAGACTCTTTCTACCCCACCTGCAAAGAGGACCTGAGGCCCCAAAGGCATGGCAGGGAAGACTTGTCTCACTCACCTTCTCTGTCGCTCACAGAGAACCAGGGTGAAAGCAGCCCTTCCCCTGCAGCCCACATCACTTACCTGTGGGTGCTGGTTGGGGTGCATCACCTCGGGGGGCAGGTGTGGGAATGGTCTGCCTGCTGGTCCCAGTGCTGGGCTGCTGGCTGACTGGGGACTCTGTGGGAGACACTGGTCATCAGGCTGTTTCTCCCATGCCCTGTCTGCAGTACAAGCCAGGTAAGAGCAGGACAGGCCAAGGGGAGCAGCCAGGCTCTCAATCCTGCACAGTCCTGGTCCCAGAGGGACACAGAGGACATTTTCCTGACCCCTGCTGTGATCAGGCACCCTCAGAAGCAGGGAGGATGCCACCCCTGTGGTTTCCTCCCTGGGTGGCAATCAAGACACATTCAGCGTTATGTGTCTGACCCTGCTATGAAAGAGGAAACACCCATGTCCTCTGCGGTGGAGATGAAGAGCTCTAGGCTGGGGACTCACCTCTCACCCTCAGCTCGACGGCGTCGCTCTGCTGCACTGCCTTGGCCCCAACCCTGTTTTCCGCCTCACAGTAGTACGTCCCGGCGTCAGAGGGCTGCAGGTTGTCCCACACCAGCTCAGCCTGGTTGCTCAGGAGCTGGGCTTTCCGTCCTGGGCTGCTCCTGAACCAGCGGTAGCTGATGGGGGGAGACCCACTGGCCACACAGGTCAGGCTGGTTCTGGCTCCAACTGGGACACTCAGCCCCAGTTCACCTGCCCTGATGGTGGGCTTGGTCACTGCAACTGGAAGACAAAGCAGATGGGACCCAGGTCACATTGGCCCTTCTTGCAGTGAGGAAGGTTTTCCTCCCCTCCCCAAGCAGTTCTTGCTCTGGCTTTCAGTTCTTTCCCAGGAGGAAGAGGGGAAGAGGGACACCTCTCCCATGTCACTGCTCTGCACAGGTTAGGCTCAGTACACCTGTGCCTAAAGCCAGATTTATACCATCTATGCCACCATTGCTACTGCCAACATGACACAAGTCCTGCCCTGTTGAGTGGGTGTCCCCCTTGCAGAAAGCCAGCTCTTTCTAGCACACACTGAGGATGCTTGGGAATGGGAGGAGGTGGATTTGGCTTGTACAAACCCATTTGCTGTCCTGCAGAATCACAGAGATGCTGGCTACCTGCACAAAACCAAGTGGGTGTCCCCCTTGCAGAAAGCCAGCTCTTTCTAGCACACACTGAGGATGCTTGGGAATGGGAGGAGGTGGATTTGGCTTGTACAAACCCATTTGCTGTCCCACTTGCCACAAGAATCACAGAGATGCTGGCTACCTACACAAAACCGAAACTACATCTCGATGTTATCTCAAGCACCATGAGTTCAAGTGGCCCATCAGTAGATCCAGACCGGGTTGTATCCTCACTGATCCCCCTTCCCCAGCCCATCCTGACACCTCCACGAGTGGATAAGGGCTAACACAGCAAGGGACCAGGATGCCTCAACACCCAGCCTGGATGTGGGTAGACAGTATGATGTGAAAGACTATTCCCACCAGCTCCTTCTTCTCCTACATGCTGTGCGAATTAGACTGGCTACACCAGAGCAGGGCTTTGTTGCTGGATTTACCTTTGACAACTTTAACCGTAGTGGTCAGTTGCTTTGTTATCAAGCTGTTATTTTCAGACCTCCAGGTGACTTGACAGGTGTAGTGTCCATTGTCGGGGATTTCAAGGTTTTCTATTAGGAGTGAGGCATCCCCTGGGCTGTTCTTAGGGACACTGACCCGGTCTCGGAACCGAGACAACAAGACGTGGTCACCAGTATCGTCCCTCCGAAAGATGGTAGAGATGCTGTAGTCTTTCTCCACACTCCAGCTAAGGGTTTGCTGTGTGAAACCTTCTGAGGGTGTGTAGGTACACGGTAAAGTGGTGGATCCCTTCCATGTGCCCTTGACCTCGTGGACACCAGACAGATCCAGGAAAGCTGCAGGGAACAACAATTGAAGGGAAGAAATAAGAATGCAGCAGAAAAGGTGAACATCCTTAGGATAGACAGGAATCACTAGGAGGTGGAAGCCAGAGCGTGGCCATGTCTTAGATGTGCTGTAGACCACAGCCAACTAAACCAGGGTCTGTCTCCACTTCACTGAGCACAGGGAAGTGGACAGTTGCTCTGACCTCATGGCTATTTTTATTGCTTCTCTCTGGGCACTTGCCAGTTCTCAATTCCTTCTCCGCACAGAGAGGCACAAATCCTGCTCTCCCTGGCAGTGTCACAGCTCTGGTCTTCACAAGACCTTAAGGAGCATCTCTTATTCCTGCTTTCTAGCCCCAGTCAAACATAATTCCTTGATGTATCAGTTTTTAAAGGTTTCCATTTCTCCTCTTCCTATTTTCACAGGCTCCCACCAAGAAAAACTAAGAAGGGTGGAAGCTATTTAGAAAACTGCTCAGAAATACCCTGAAGGCATTTGTTGCTCTCAAGGTCAAGTATGTTTGCTATCCAGTATATTCATCCGGACACAATTTTGTTTAAACATCTCTCTCATATTGTTTTGCATTTCTGTGTGCCATGAAATAGCTGCCAACATCTACTGACTCCCTGCAGAGCAGCTGCATATACGTGTGTGTATATATATATATATGTATATGACCAATTTGAACATTAGCAGGGATGACTCCAAAGGAGAGCTGATTGGAAGGAATGGAAGAAACTCAGCAACAAAAAAATCGCTGAGACAGCATTTTTAAAAAAAGTATTTCCTCTCAGTGACGATTTTTAAATTGGGATGTAGTCTTCCAGACTACGTGGAGTTGTCCCACTGGAGGGAAATAGAGCTGGACCAGGCAAAAACCTGATGGGCTATGTCAGAGATCAGAAGACTGATCAGAGGGATTTCTGTTATCTATAAAGCATGATAACGGAAAAAAAAGAGAACTCTCATATCCTGGCCCCTTTTCAAGAATGATCGAGTATCTTCCTTCCTAGCCTGCCAGCACCAGCTGTCCTGGTGGCATGGACGTGCCATGAAGGCAGGAGCCTTAAGGGATCTGCTCTGAAGTACTGGATCTGGAATAGGAACAGTGGACCAAACCCAATCTTCTTCTGGGGAGTGCCTTTGGTAAGTAGAAAATCACCTGAATTTAGCTGGTCTTGGCTCACCTCTACTCATCCCCTCCTTATCCCACTCCCCCTTTCCCCTCTTTCCTGGAAAGACACCCGTTTTGTTCAGCTGCATTAACTCACAGTAAGTTGCTTGAGAGGTAGGTCCCAGAAATCTGCGAAGATGGTTTTTATGGTGAAATGGGGAACATATTTCAACCCGTTTTTCTGAATGTCAGTAGCAATTCTGTGCTTCTGTATACAACTTATTAAAGCACCTTTCTGCTGTTTCCCAAAACCTTCCTCTGCCAGCGGCAGTGTCATATGTGCCCTGGGAGTGGTACATATACCTCACGGGCATATGAATCGAAGCAGATTCCAGCATCACCTCTCCTAATGCACCTAGAGACTCAGCAGATCAGGAGAGACCAAGGGGAACCATGTATGTTCTTGCACCTAGTCTCACAATTACAGCTTTTCTTCTCCCCAGGACCATGCTAGAAGAACAACAGTGATGCATTAATAATTTCTAGAAGAATGCATATTCCGGCTTCACAAAGACTGCTTTGGAAGCTAACAGTCCAGAGCAGGTCCTTTCCAAGGGTCCTGAACAATCCTGTTTTGCCCTTGCTTTGGGGCATGGGAGCTGGCCTTTTTGCCCAATACTGCCCTGTTTGCTCCACTGCTAAAAGCACCTTGTTGTATCTGATACTGAAGGAGACTCTTGGTGAATTCTTAGGTTCTATTTTTCATAGAAGAAACTAAAGGCTTTCCACACTTGACAATTTTTAAATATTAAGACACTATAATCCAAAAGGTTTTCCCTACCCCCTTAGGACTCTGATTTTTGTTCTCATACACTGAAGCATTTACTCACCGTTGCAGCTGACGAAAGCCATCACAAACACCACCATCCACAGAGCTTCTCCCATTCTCCCAGAACTGCAGGGCGGTCCTCCTTTTCCTGCACTTCATGAGAGACCCCCACACTCCTGGGACCAGAATGCAAGTGACGGACACTTCCCTTTCTTCTGTCCTTTGTCATCTAGGATCCTCTTTCTGAAATATCACGAGCCCATTTTGCTGCTGACTTAGGTGAAGGGTAAAGGATGAACAAAGACGACAAGGATCTTTCCAGTTCCATATCATATTCTCCTCTCCCTACTCACTTCTCTTACCATTCTCTTGACTTTTCTGACCAGTGCTCTTTATTATTATTCTTCATAATTGTGTGCTTCTTTTTTCCTGGTTTTCCTTTTCTCCTTTCTTTTCCTCCTCTCTTTTCTTCCACATTTGCATTCACTTCACAGTGAAAGAGCTTTATGATGACTACAGAGTCCAGCACTCAGTAGCAAGGGAAAGCAAACTTAAGGTGCTTGTGAAGCATGAATTCAATTCCTTCTGACTTGTGTGTGATGATATTGCTCAGCAGAGTGCCCAGCATCTCTCTCCATCAAATCTGGGCATCCAGAAATGAAAAAGCACAGGTCCAAGTGCACCATCTCACCTGACACCACAGAGCAGCATGAGGCAGAGACCAGCCTGTTGATGCTCAATTCCACATCCTTAGTGTCTTCTCCTGCTGATGGTACTCGACTCTTCCACCACATGCATGTACCAACTTCTGCAGCAACAGACCCTCCAAGGGCAACCCCGTTCACCTTCTGAACAGGTCAGTCTGTGACCTGAGTGAGAAAGACAACCAACCACAGCTTCTTTGCCAAGCAGTCTGAGCCTTTTAGGCCAGAAAACTTCAGATGCCACTTTTTTTTTTTTTTTCTGTTTTAACAGAAAATGCACAGAGAAGTATTGAATAACCAACATCCTGCTCTTTACCACAATAGGAATTGCCCTGCAAAAGCTTGATTTTCTACCACCTGCCCAGAAACTGTGTCCTATTGCAGTGCAGCTACAGACGCAGTTATACCTACCAAGGCCATGGAGAAGGTGCGTGGGGAAACGTAAGGTTAATGGTCCAGAGTCATCCACGTTTAGTGTCACATTATCTTTTACCATCTACTGATGATCAGATGGTCACTACTGGCTGCTCTCGTTTTCACAGCATCACAGACTATTTTGGGATACATTTCTGTTGCAATAGTCCAGTTCATGGGCAAAAGTCATCAATTTTGATGCTCTGCAGGCACACGTAATATTTTCAAAGGAGGTGACTCATGGCCAGTGGCAAAGGGACTTTAATCCAGGAGACATTCTGGGTATACTCTGTAGGGGTATCTTTAAAAGTACATCCAAAAGTTATCAATAGCTGTTATGCATCGCATTAACATGCACCTACTAATTATTACCAAAAGGAGGAGGAATTACAGAAGATAAGAAGCATGTATAAAAGCAAATCTACTGACCTAAAAAACTCTGTTATAGGCTTCTAATCACTCACTAAAGCAACTTTTGCATATCCTGACCCATGACTGGTGATGGAAGCTTGTCCCAACAAACTATCTCCTATGCAAAAGGCTTTAGAAGAAGCTGGATTTTGGGGAACATGCCCTGAAACAAGCTGAAAACCCAAGCTAAAATTGCTGATATGACTATTTTCTGAACCGGACATGCAAGACTTCCTGAAGCTGTAATTATAAGAATAAAAAAAAATGACTGTTTAGCTGGAACAAATATGAAGAACTATAGTTCCTCAAACATGATGCACACAACATCTTTCTCTCCCTGAGACAGAGATGTAGCTGCTAGTTTTCTTCTCTCTAAGTCACAGAGTCCATTTCTTGCTTACCAGAGGGACTCCTCATAGTTTTGCATCTGAACACATGAATAAAAAGTCTTTACTGGCTCAGACTTTGTGGCTAGTTACCTGGTTTATTATAATGAAGTATATTTATTTCGATGTCTCTGCTTTGGATTGAATCCATTGCTTTTGTGGCCTGCTCTTCCTCGGAAAGCCCTTTGTCTCCGTACCTCGGTCGCTGCTTGCCTTAGTGTGCTCTTCTTCTTGGGCTTGTCATACGTGCCACCACACCTCACCACCTTGGATGAACATCAGTGCAAGTTACTTTGGAGTGAGCCAAACCCCCGTTTGGGTAGCCGTGGCAGTCACCTTGAGGTGCTCTGAGCATACTGAGCATTATCACATTCCCACCTGGGAAAGCACACCTCGCAAACCCAGTGCGGTTACTGACACACTGGGTGTCTCTTCATGACTGGTGACACTTTGACTTCCCCAGAACTTCTAGGGGTATTTCATCACCTAGGGCAAAATCCACCACTTCTCTTTGGAAACAAGGATGAAAGGAGACGGCTAGCAGGGGTGACATCACTTAAAGTAATTGCCTCAACCTAGCACAGCACAAAGGGTCTTTCCCATCTAGGTCAAGGCCAGCAGTGGTGGAAATAGAGGCGGGGGGGAAGGTCTCGTGGTGCTGGCTGCATTGCCCTTCTAGGTCAAGGCCAGCAGTGGTGGAAATAGAGGCGGGGGGGAAGGTCTCGTGGTGCTGGCTGCGTTGCCCTTCTTTTGTTTAGACAGAGCTCAGCTCTCTTCCAAAGAGCCAAGTCTATTGCTCTGGATGGCTCTACCCATCACACCACAGAAAGGACAAGCTCTTTTCTCCTCATTCTCCAAGTAGCACATGTGTCTACACTCAGATGTTCACCCTGTCACTTGACTTTGGCGTACCTCTGCTTCCCAGTTGCTCCACACCACACTGAAGCCCCATATTCCCATTGCAATGTTTGTTTCTGGGATGGAACTCAGACAGGTGGGCTGCTCTCCAGTAACATTCCCTTCTCATTCCCACCCTTCAAAACACAAACACACACTTTTTAAAAATTGAGAACTTTAGTGGAAGGCTCCAAAAACTGCAACGTCATCTAGAATTGAAAGATTAAGAAAACATGAGTGTTTCCCAGAAAATTTCAACACTGTCAATTTGTCATCACATTAACACACTATCCAGTCGTGTTTTTCTGTTGTCCTCTGGAAAACCCTTTCAGTGATAACTGTGTGCTTTGCAATACTACTGCAACAGCTTTCCTCCCCTGTTCACCTGCCTGCTTAGGAAGAAAGACTGTCGGAGGACTTCACCAGCTTTTCATACTCTTCATTTTGTTTCACATCCTAAACATCTTGTTTCGTTATCTCAGAGCCCCACATTGGACTAGCAACAGCTCTTGCACCTTCTGTTCCCTAAACTGTGGCTGACTGCAATCTACAGACATCACCTGACACCACACCCCAAACTCCAGCAGATTCAAAACAATTCCTTTGCTTTCAAGTAGAGAGACCCAGCGTGCTCCTGGGAATGTAATTCCTGGGCACACAAAGACATTCACAATAGACAAAATAAAGAGAAGTATTACAAAATCTAACAACTTCGCAGTCCTGAAGTTTAATGATTTTCATTTGCTTCCCCACATTTGCAAGAAGCTGCACATACACGTTGACAATTTTTTCCAAGACATCATCAACAAAAGCTGCTCTTTGTTCCCTTTCCATTTTGAAATCAAAGTAACCAGCCCTTGATTTTTAAGTACGTTCTTAACAAAGATAAATAAAACTTGTGGTACAGGAAATTCATAGAGAAAGTGTACGGTCACCCATAGAGTGTGCCTGGTGCTTTGTGAATTTTGATGAATTTTTATATCATTCACTTCTCATTGGAGCTCTGTGAACTTTGGGTTTTCATAGCACCGGATGAGTAGCATTGCATTCCACACTTATTTCTGTATTGCATAAAAGAAATACTTTCCCTCTCCTTTTAAAACTGCTGCCAGATGATTTTAGCGAATATCTGCTTCCTTTTCTCTTGGAGGAAACTGTAAACAAATAATCCCTATTCTTCTTCTCCACACTGGTGATGAGGAGCACACTTTGGTCATTTTGCTTCATTCTCTTTTTTTCCAAGCTAAGAAAGTAAAATAAGTTTGCACAGAACCAGTTTCAGGCCACTAATTATCCTTTATTATCATTCTCTGTAACTTTTCTATATCTGTTAAACCCTTTCAAGGTGAGACACCTACACACATACCTGAGGTGGAAGCGTTCCATGGGTTCTTACAACATCGCAGTTGCATTTTCTATTGCATTATAATGCTTTTCCTTGTAGCACCTAATCCTCGTTTTTGAACGCTGGTGAATTTTGAGCTGATCCTGGCAGAGAACTGCAGATGCAGATCTTTCCTGAGCGTGAAGAGCAAATCTGGGGGCCCACTAATCCTATGTTTGTGTCACCTCACCCCTCAGATCACTCATTTTGCTTTACATCTCTCTGTATGGCTTTTAACTGGGCATAGTATGGCCATATTGTTCATTATAAAAAGGTTCTTTCATAACTCTGCAGTATCCCAGTTTTAGACTTACTCAAGGTAGCAGAAATGAATAACAAAGTTTCTCAGCTCCCTACTTACCCTTCAGGACTTCTAAGATGGGAGGAAAGTACTTCATGAGCATCTACTGAGGAGCTATAATTGTGAGGCCTTGCTGGCATTTTAACGATGAGCTGGCTGTGCAAAAATATTCATAAACAAAATAATTCAGGTATGTGTAAACAATCCTACCCACAAGCTCATGGAAAAGTACCTTATTTCTTTAAAATAGTAAGCATACATTAAACAAGAGGACAGAGAAGGTGAACTCAGAAAGAATGTGCCCTGTTCAACACATTATCACCATTGCCCCAAGCTGTCCAGCATCAAAACTATAGAAAGTGCATCCACATCTTACTGGGAGCGCTGCAGGAAAGAATATTGAGCGCAGCACAATGAGAGAATGAGACATTTCTTCTTTTTGTAGTGCTGCTCCTAGTTTGGTAAGGTTCTTGGTGTTATCCTGGCTTTAATCAGTCTTCCATTGTTTCTTCAAGGGTTCTCTCACATTTAAAAGGATATTCTACCACCTTTGCAACACTTCAGGTGGATGGGAGGAGAAATACGGCTTCCCAGGCCAGCCTCATTCTGCACATCTTACCCAAAGATGATGGGGATGTTGAGCAGCCCTTGTTGCTCATTCTAATCCCACCACACGGAGGTAGGGAAGGCAGGTCCTCTTGGTCATACAAAGCAGCACATTTATGGCCTGGGAGTCCTCTTGGTCATACAAAGCAGCACATTTAGTACAATACTCTTGGCCTGGGATCTGCATACCATAGCTTTCAAAGGGCTTTCTTCTACAGAGGTGGTGAAAGGGAACCAAAAAAAACAAATCAGAAGATTTGTACAGCAGTCTGCAACTGAAGTTCCTAAAGAGGTTTGCATTTTCACTACAGAGATTGTTAAGGCTCCATAAATTGCAGAAGAACAAGAAATGCTTGTCCAACCTATTTTTCAGAGGCAAAGGTGGATAGGAAGATAAATTTTGGCTGGACGAAAGTACTCTTCAGGGCTGCTACCTGTAGAGCACTGTTGGGTCTCATACAGTGTCCCCTACTTCATATTCAGATTCCTGGGTGTGTCCAGCAGAGTCATATTCATTCTTTTTTGTATCAGATTCTTTGTTTTTCATTAACTCCATCACATAGTTGTTTTCAGTGGAGGAGATGGGTTCCTCATAATGACCCATACTTTGACTTCTTGAAAAAGCTGCTGCTCTCGAGTTATGGCTGAAACCAAAATACAAGATGAAAGAAGAGTTGCAACCAGAGGAAATAAAGCATCTCCCAACCTTCAAGATTTTGAGCAAGATTATGATCCAACTCAAACCCATGTAAACCTGGGCCATTGGATTAGGACAGTATTCTGAAGGAGAGAATCTTATCCTTTGCTTCAGTGTAGCAGGAGAACCTCGGACATTATAGCAGCGTTGCCTCCAATCCAGGGAGAGTTACAGAGGCAGCAAAGGTATGTAAGCAGCACAAGAATTCCCATAATTTCTTGGAATGGCACAACCAGACAACTGCTTTTTGCAAGATAAATATATATATCTCTATTAAAAAAAACAGAAGTGGTGGAGGAATTGTCAATTGTGAGCTGAATGCAGCCCACATCCACCATGTGGCTTATGATATCTAATATCTTTAAAAATGAAGGTAAATCCTCTGATGAAAAATGCCATCACACCATTTATTCAGTTGCTCAGGGTTTAACTGCTACTGGAGCATGATGCTTTAAAAACTGCTTGGGAAGCCCAGCACCTGGGCAAACGCTGTTGGCATGTTCTACAACAGCACTTAAGTCATCAGCACTCTAATTAATATCTAGATAGGTCATTCTGCTTGTATGTTTTGACTGGATTATTAGACTTCAGTATAGCTTGCATAGGTTACATGTAGATCAGGATGCTGAACCTGAGTTTTAGAAATAGTTGTAACTTCCTGACACAGTTATGGTTAAGAGAGGCAAGTTAATCTAAGGATATTTCAGGCATAAATCAGTCTAACTTGCACATTGGGAGCCTTAGCTCTCTAGAAAGGGAATTCCTATTCTTTGCATTTGAAAAAAAACACTGGGAATTTATCCTTGGCAATGGTCTTCAATAGGTTTCATCGGGCTGAGGAGTTAATGAACAGCTCTTGCTCACTTTTATGAGTCTAGTATTGCAAAGGGAATGACCTTTCTTTCTTCCTAAATTATGTGTTGATGTGGATCAGTAGAGAGTACTACTGAGCTTACTTTAAACCTCTTCAACCACACTGCTTAAGAGGCTTTTAATTTTGACAGCTAAGTAGAACCATCTCCCCCCCCACACACTTTGATACAGCCCCCAAAGACTCATCAATATGTTAGGTAGAGGGTTATACTCACCGTTTTACTTCATAGACTTGAGCTGAAAAAGAATAATCAGAAATTTGTTTCAATAATTTGCATTTGTAGGCTCAAAAAAATAATTTCTGCTATGTCTCTTAAGAAAGCAACTTCTGAAGACGGAATAAAAATAGGAACCTTAGAGATCATGTTAGGTGGGTGATGACTCCTATTCCCAGGATTCAGTCCAAGAAAATGAAAACAACCCATATCCCAGTTGTAGCACAACTGGGTTAAAATAACTGGCCCAAGGTCAAAGGTAAAGTTGAGTTTAGAAACTAGTTCCCAGTTCCCACAATTTTCCTTTTCATTAAAAGTTCAATAAAGAACAAGTTTAGAAAGGGGTTATTCTGGATTCCTTTAAAAAAAAAAGAAAAAAGGCAAAAAGAATATTTGATAGTAATTATTAATTGGTATGACAGTTATAGAAAGGTAATAAAAAATTCAAAGGGACAAGGAGAAAACTATGGCCATCAGTATTAAAGACCCCAAACCAAAACCCCAGCGTGTTCTCTGTATGCTGCTGAGTGCTATTAGTGAGAAAGGGGACTCTAAGAAAGCATTTGGGCAGAAGCTTTCTAATATTAGTGCAGAAAAGACGGAAGCATTCAATAAATATATCCTATGTCTGAAGGCTAGAAAAAAAATGAATTCATATTGAATAGGGAGAATTAATGATGACCTCTTTTCCTCCAGGTTCTTACTAAGGGAAATATTAAACAGCAGCTGGTGCAGACAGGTATTCTGAAGTAGCAGGACAAGATTAACTTGCTACCTTGAAAGATCTGATCAACTTGGTTGAGCAGGTGAGTTTGAGAGACAAGGGATGTCTGTGAGGACCAGAGGGAAATGGCCATCCCTCAATAATGGTGGCAGAGTGGAGGACAGCATGATGGAGAAGCCAAGCACCATGGCATAGCCAGAGGGGGTACAGAAACTGAGGTTCCCCCTGGAACCAGCACAGGGAGGAGGGCTGCAGGGGCTGATCACAATGTGTCAGTCCTTCCTGTGGTGGAGGAGCACCCGGCAGGACCTCTCTGACTGCTGCAACTGGTTTTCCCTGATGAGAAAGGGGCTTCTCTGCTTCTTTTGACCTTTCACCACCTATTTTGACCCATGCATGTTTTGATTGAGTGCCTGTATGATACAGGTGCCAGAGCTGCTAAAGGTGGCTGCACACAAAGTACCAGCCCCAGCCCCAAAAGCCCTCAAAGGTAAAACCAAGGTGGGCATGCACAGCACATTCAGGGTTTCCAGAACATCTCACTCACCTTCTTTGGGCTTTCTGATGCAAATGATGAGAAAGATGACAATGAAAACCACAGCACCACAAACCACAGCAATCAGGATGACCCAGTACAGAGACAGGCGAGTCTTCGGGATATCTAGAGCAACACAGCAAAAGACTTTCAAATAGAGAAGCCCTTCCGGGTCACAGCAGCAGCAGTTATGTGGTGCTGACCACTTCCCTGAGGGCAACAGCAGCCAACCCTGTCATGGCCGCACAGGGTTGTCCCTGCTCGCCCCCATCTGGGCAGCACCTTGCTCTGAATGCGGGTGTTTGTGGGACCTGCCCAGACCTACATCACACACATCTCACCGAGAGACTGCAGCCATGAAGACAACCAGCAGAGTCACAGAATCACAGAATATGGGGTTGGAAGGGACCTCCAGAGATCATCTAGTGGACCTGCCAAAGCAGGTCCAGCTAGAGCAGGCTGCACAGATGGGTTTTGAATGTCTCCAGAGAAGGAGACTCCACCATGCCCCTGGGCAGCTCGTTCTAGGGCTGTGCCACCCTCAAAGTAAAGAAGTTCCTCCTCATGTTTAGGTGGAGCTTCTTATGTTCAAGTTTGTGCCCATTTCCTCTTGTCCTGTCCCTGGGCACCACTGAAAAAAGACTGGCCCAATCCTCCTGACATCCACCCTTTAAGTATTTATAAGCATTGATCAGATCCCTCCCTCAGCCTTCTCTTCTCCAGACTAAAAGACCCAAGTCCCTCAGCCTTTCCTCATAAGACAGATGCTCCAGGCCCCTAATCATCTTTGTAGCCCTCTGCTGTGCTGTCTCCAGCAGTTCCCTGCCCTTCTTGAACTGGGGAGCCCAGAACTGGACACAGTGCTCCAGATGGACCCTCACCAGGGCAGAGCAGAGGGGGAGGATAACTTCTCTCAACCTGCTGGTCACACTCTTTCTGACGCACCCCAGGATGCCATTGACTTTCTTGGCCACAAGGGCACATTGTCAGCTCATGGTCATCCTATTGTCCACCAGGACTCCTAGGTCTTTCTCTCCAGAGGTGCTCTCCAGCACCTAATGCTGTGCTCTCCAGTCTCCTAATGGTGAGGCAAACTGAGGTTGTGTGCTGGGCAGAAGAGTTGCACTACACCTAAGGAAATAAGAAGTCTCAGCTTTTAATGCCAGGACACTCTTCAGTTGTATCTGGAAGATGTTTAAACCTACCACAGCACTGCAAAGCTAGAGGAGGCGTGGAAGATCTGCTCAAGTTGCACACTGAGGCTTTTCTGCTCTTCCAGCTTTGAGACTCAAGAAAAGATCAAAAGGGATCAGGAACACAGTAACAAGTCTCTATAGTCCAACTATGAAAGCTTCCCCCCCCCCAAAAAAACCATCTAGAGTCTTTAAAAGAGTGACCATGGGTCATCTAGGTCCCTTGAGAACAGCCGTTGATGCAATTTGCAGCCAAAAGGCAGAACACTAATTTTGAGGCTGAAGGTACTGACTATTAGTGGCCAGTTTAGGTCCCTAATCTCGTTCTTAGTTTTGTTTTGCTCTCCACTTACCCTGAGTTGTATAATTCTTTTCTGGATACCCCACACCACTCTCAGGGGTCACTGTTATGGACAGATCTGCAAAACAAACAGGAGTGAAAGGCTCCCAGTGCATTTCCAATCCTCATTTTAGGGATTATAGCTGTAGGATCAAGAGACAGTATCTCCACCACCTTTACAAAGCTGTGAAAATAGACAAACTCTGGAAATAAGTACTATATATACACTATAATATAGAGAGAATATATATTGTACTATATATATACACACAGTAGATACATATATATCTAGTACATACATACATAGTTTGTGTATACATAGATACTATATATAGTATACATACACTATATATAGTATCTATGTATACACAAATTATGTATGTATGCACTAGATATATATGTATGTCTATATATATCTATGTATGTATGTACTAGATATATATGTATGTCTATATACACACAGATCTGCAAAACAAAGAGGAGTGAAAGGCTCCCAGTGCATTTCCAATCCTCATTTTAGGGATTATAGCTGTAGGATCAAGAGACAGTATCTCCATCACCTTTACAAAGCTGTGAAAATAGACAAACTCTGGAAATAAGTACTATATATACACTATAATATAGAGAGAATATATATTGTACTATATATATACACAGTAGATACTATATATAGTATACATACACTATATATAGTATCTATGTATACACAAATTATGTATGTATGCACTAGATATATATGTATGTCTATATATATACACACACACCTGTAATAGTGGTAATGTCCCATGAAGCCCAAGGGATTTCTGAGGTACCTTCAAACACCAGCTCCGTTTGAGTTTTTTCTGTAAAACAGTCAACAACCATCAACACCTTCCCTCAGCTTCTGGTCACTGATGTCAATTCCCACAACCTGCTGTGTGGCTGGTGGGGCACTATAAATTCAACTGAAACATAACCCCAAAATACAAAGTTTCCACAAGATGACCTACTGCAGCCCAAGTCTGAATTCCCACATCCCACAGAAACAAACTGGGAATCATAAGCCCTCCCTCAAAACAACCGTCCTTGGTAAGGTAGACCATTTCCAGTCAGGTCTGAAGCAGCTTCTGCATCACTTGTATCTGCCACTAGAGACACTAACCCTGCCTCCCACTTCAGCAGCTTTCATTTAGGACCAGAAAACAAGCAAAAAAGCCCTTTAAAAAAAAAAAAAAAAAAAAGAACAGAACTGCAAACATCCTTTATGGTCTCCAAATTAGGAAGTGGTATTTCTAGCAGGCCTAAGACACATACAGAGTCTTTCATACAGAGACACAATCTCCTTAAGAGCAAGCTGAAAGCTCATTGCGGACTGGAGACTGAGGAAAGGAGGATGTTCTATGATCAGAAACATCTGGATTGAAAACCGGGGTGTGTGGACTAAAGCATAATATTGTCAAGGCTGTATTCCCCAGCCACAAAATCCACTGCTAAACACGGTGTCAAACCTTCCCCTGACTCCTCGTCCTTGCTGTCAGCCATAACTTCTCTTACCCCTCTCTTACCTGTGGTTGTGTGGTGTCTCCCTGAGGTTCCACCATCCCTCTGAGAGGCTACTGTTGTGGTGGACAGATCTGCAAGGTGAACGAGAGAAAGGCTCACACAGGAGTTTGACCACATTTGTGATGCTGCTGCAATACAGGAGAACTTCTCCCCTGGTGGGGTAAGACCATGAGGAACCAGCCACCATCCAAAGGACAGGTAGGGACTGCATGCTAGCAGCGTTGCTAGCATGAGCATCATTAATTCTTGTTCCCTTGCTGTAAGCTTTTTCATGCAACTGCTATGAAAAACAAGACAGTGTTTCAGCCATAGTCTTTGTTCCACTGGGAGCTCAACAGGCTTTGCCTCTTCCAAAGGTCACTGTGTGGTATCTGTGCTTGGCTCAGCGATCACAGGCTCCATGGCTCCAATGACCAAGTTACCAGCCAAGGAAAGCAGCAAGTCTTCCACGAGGCATCCATCATGCACTGTCTTGCAGAGCCTGGATACATCAGAGCACAGAAGTGCAGTGTGTTCTCCTGGAACTTGTGTCCAGGAGTTAGGAACAAAGGCCAGTTTGACTTTTTCACCTACTGAATTACCACTTTTGTGTTCCTCATACTCAAAATGAAGTTCTGATTCCTCATCTAAGCTTGCTAAACCACACTAGAGAGCACTACACAGACAGCAAGACCCTAAAAAAGCCGAAGAGGAATAAATATGTGTTTTAAATATAAAACCCCTTTTGCATCAGAAAAGAGCAGTTCCTCTAAAGAGGAGGGAAATTGAATACAGGAAATAAAAAAAAAAAAAGGACAGAAAGTCAAAGCTATTGAAGAGAAGTGCTTCAGAGTGCAGAAGGCCAAGGCTTTTTGTGTTTTTGCCTTTCAAGGAAGGGAAGCAGGAATGTTGTTCCATTCCATTACAGAAGGACTCCAGGTGTTCTCCATCCAGCTGTGGCTCTGGGGACTCACCTCTCACCCTCAGCTCGACGGCGTCGCTCTGCTGCACTGCCTTGGCCCCAACCCTGTTTTCCGCCTCACAGTAGTACGTCCCGGCGTCAGAGGGCTGCAGGTTGTCCCACACCAGCTCAGCCTGGTTGCTCAGGAGCTGGGTTTTCTGTCCCGGGCTGCTCCTGAACCAGCGGTAGCTGATGGGGGGAGACCCACTGGCCACGCAGGTCAGGCTGGTTCTGGCTCCAACTGGGACACTCAGCCCCAGTTCACCTGCCCTGATGGTGGGCTTGGTCACTGCAACTGGAAGACAAAGAAGATGAGGCCCAGGTCATGGTGCTCATGGTTGCAGTGGGGAAGGTTCTTCCCCACCTTCCCCCTCCCCAAGCATTTCTTGCTCTGGCTTTCAGTGCTTTCCCAGGAGGGAGAGGGACACCTCTCTCACACCTCAGCTCTGCACAGGTTATGTGTCTGTACCAGCTATGCCACCCATCACACCTCCTACACGAAGGCCTGCTCTGCCAGGTTAATGCCATCTCCATTCCTCCAAAAATCACCACTTCCCAGGCAAAGGGTGATCGGGCACGTGCTGATGGAGTTTGGCCAAAGAAAAACAATACAACATCCCAGGAGCTTCCCCTCTGATGCGTGTCCCTTGAAACACTGAGCCATCAGATAGAGGATGAGCCAGGGAGAAACTGATAAACAAGAAGCCACAAATCCTCCTCCAGTAGGGTGGGCAGAATTCTGCTCTATGAGCCATTCACTGCTTCTCGTTTGAGTCTGGCACTGCTCAGCAAAATGCTCCTGAGTTGGAAGCAGGTGGTCACTGCCTGCCTGGTCTATTCAATTCCCAAAAGCCTTCCCAAGCCAAGCCTTCCATCCTGCATTTCCTTGTTGAGTTTACCTTTAACAACCTCCAGTTTAGTGGTGATGTCCTTTGTTACCAGGCTGTTATTTCTGGCTCTCCAGGTGACCCGGCAAGTGTAGGTCCCCCTGTCAGAGAATTCCAGGCTCAGGATGTGGAGAGACACGTTCCCTGGGGCATCCTTCAGGACGTTGACCCTGCCTCTGTACTCGGACAGGAGAACGTGGTCACCAGAGCTATCCCTTCGAAAGATGGTGCCAGAGCCCTGGTCGTGTACCACAGTCCACACAAGTGAGTGCTGCACAAAGTCCTCCTCGGGCACATAGGCACATGGCAAGATGGTAGATCCCTTCCATATGCCTCCGACCATGTTGGGACCAGTCAGATCCAGAAAAGCTGTAGGAAGAATGGAGAAAGAAAACAAAAAATAAAGCAATCACAGTGAAGGCAGCTCCTGGGTGATGAAATGGTGGTGAGAGCATCATCAAGAGGAATCCACCAAGTCAAAAGCCTGGGCAGTCAGCATAGACGATGAGGGATGGGCTAACAAAAAAGCCATGTGGCTTGAGGAATCAGATAGGAGAGAGCTGATTGCCAGGGGCACTGCCACGTGCCACGTGAGCAGTTTGGTTCTCCTGCTCTGCCTGGTGCTTACCTGCAAGCAGGTGAACAGCGGGCAGAGCACAGGGTCAGAATTAGCAGATGATTTAGACCTGAGGGAAGTAGGTCTCAAGACCGAGTTGCAGAGTTCCCTGGTCACAGCTGCCGTCTGCCCCCACCACCCGACATCAGTCTCAGGGCTTTCCTGGAGAGCATTGCACACTAACAGCAAACCAGAGGTTTTATTGTTTTCCCTCCTCTGCTGCCCATTTGTTCTTCTGAAAGACACTGCTTTTTCAGACTACACTGAATTTAACCAACTTCAGCAATGGATCAAAGTAGTCTAAAACTCTTTAAATTTTCCTATAGAAATGAGGTCTGTTGACTTTGTCACTCTTAAGGTTGAACCTGTGCTTCCATAAATACGTCTTTACCCTTTTCTCCTGATTTCCAAACCTCCACTTTCCTGAGAACACAAGAACTAACCAGACCCTTGGTGCTGGGCTGTGCTCTGTGCAATAACCATCACAACACACACAGCATCTTTGTGCTCTGGGTGCGTGGGCAGCCTTTCCATAGCCATCACGCACCGTTGCACTCCCCAACCACTGGATTTGAAACAACTGAACGCCGAGGCAGCAGCATGCAAAGACATTGGCCTTTTTGCCATTTTCCTACTCCCAAAAGATAACCACCCCTGTACAAACACACAGAGACACACCAGTGCCAGGGAAGGACCTGCCTCCAGCAGAAGACCTTTCTGTACACTCACCGTTGCAGAAGAGAAGAGGACTCACAAGCACAGCTGCCCTCACCAGCATTCCCATCCTTGCCGGGGCTGCAGCTTCTCCCTCTCCAGTAGAACAGCCCTGCTCTCTCCAAGTCAGGGCGTAAACACTTCCCTTTCTTCACTCACTTTGTCACCGAGGATGAGGACAGCTGCTGATGGTTTTTCCTTCCTCTTTTTCAGAAAAAAAAAGAGCATCTCAGTGATGACTGTCAGAGGTGCGGGTGGAAGAGAAGTCCTCAGGGAGGGTGAAAATAAGAAAGTTTAAGAATTACTTTTACTCTATTTCACATTTCCTACTGATAAGGTTTTTTCCCCTTCTGTTTTTCAATTCAACTTTTAAAAAAAATAAAATTTCTTTGTTTCTTTTTATTCCTAAACACCTATTTCCTCCTCTTTCCCCCCTTGCATTACTTTCTAAATAATAATTTTTAACACACATGTTACATACAAGAAGATCTGATAGAAAACTTTCAGGAGCTAAACAACAAAGGTCTTGACTATTCATTTTCTTACCGGCTTTTCAATTGAGCTCACCACTGGTGCTTTAAATTAAGATTCATGAAACACCCTAAATCTTTATATTACCAGTGTGAGACAAATAATCATCATAGGCCTCTTCTGACTGACTGATTCTATTCCATTTCATTATATCCCGTTCAAGAGATGGAGAGTTTAGGCATATAAATCTGAAAACAAATTATTTCCAAGAGCTACAGGCACCTGATTTAACCATCCCACTCTAGATCACAGACTGAGCCTGCTTTCTCATGCAGCAATTTAGCTGCTGGGTTGAATTGATTAATTGCATTCAATTAAAAGCATAGATTAGAACCACATGCATCTGCATTACCCTGTAGATTACTTTGGAAACAGGTAAACAATTATATGCCAAAAAAAAAAAGCAAAAAGGAACTTATCAAAGTAGAAAATCTTTGAGACTATGAAATCATGACTTCTTAACTGTAATGAGATTTGCTATTGTTAATTAAAGGCACTATAAATTATAGTTAATCTGTATTATTAGGTAATTGAGCACTAGATTAATCTAGAAGCATCAGTTGTTTACTGAAATGTTATTTTCAAGAGATTTTACATGTCTTTTTCTCTCTCCTGTAGCTCTTAATTTTTCTGTGGCCCTAATGACAGAAATCTCTTCTGCTTCATTGTATACAACTAAATTGATACGAGCACTTTGCTATTGTTACACCCAAATTCAACATCCAGTCCTCAAACGCAAGTAACCAGAATAAAAATCCCAGTCAATAAAATCCCAGGCCATATTCTAAAGTACAACCCTCCTTTAACAGACAATGTTTGCACAGCACTGGATACTGGAGCAATCAATGCCACGTACCTGATTCTGAAGTAGTGGCAATGTGGAGAAACAAATATTTCATATAGTCTTATATATGGCTTAAAGACAGCTCCACCTACGTTGTCATTTGTAGGTGGCTTCCTTACGTTGTTATGTAATTTAACATTAAAAACAGGAGGTTTGTGTATACAACCCCACGACCTCCGATACTATCTTCTTCCTCTTCTTTCAAGATCTTTGCTTTCATTGTGATTGCTTGCTTGTACATATATTTTTATTTTAGAGTCATTGATAGTTCATTCTGCAAAACAATGGTACTTAAAAGCATATACGCATCTAGAAGTATGATTATTGTTTTTACTACTTGTTATTAAAATTGATCTAATGATGACTATGTTATTGGTATGAGTTTGAATTTGGTTCTTTTCAAGTTATAACATTCTGGTCTCTGATTCCCTGAAGCTGGTGATTTTACTACACGCAATTTTCTTGCCTTTACTTGGTTAGAAAATCTCCAGATCCTTGTGGGTGTTGGACAGTCTTGCCTTAGAGAATCATCTGTTCAATTAATTTCTTACCACATATTTGCAGTTATACCTGTAATTAAAGAGGACACCTAACCAGCTTAAGGTCCAAATGCTTCTGAAAATATCCTACTTGATAAATCTGAGAAGAAGATTCAACAGAGGCTTGAGAGATTTTGGGACCTGATTTCACGTGCTCCTCCCGTGTAGCCCTGTGTTCCTTGGTCAGAAGTTTTCCATGAGATGCAACTCCAATCTGGAGTCACTGCAATGGAGAGAAGCAGCAAAAGCTTGTGTGGGTTGCAGTGTTCACTTACTTGGTTCAAAAAAGAAAGAGAAAAGAACATGTTAAGTTCAAATTGATGAATCTCCTTCCTGGGGAACAAGGCTCTCTGGACAGGAGGGCAGAAGTCTAAACTGATTCTGACTAAGTCATAAAGGAACCTACCACTAGAAGGGTATGTACCAACCAGGAAGCTAAAATTCACTGTTTTACAAAGAAAAGATGTGTATATATTTATTTATATATGTATATAAATATATATAAATATTTTGGTTGCGGGGACAGTGGCAGGAGAAATCTCTTGTCCTTCATATGGTACAAGTACAGGTGCCTGTAGGCTAAGATGACCCTTGGTAGGATTAGAAGCAATCTCTTGCGAAGCTAAAATTCACTGTTTTACAAAGAAAAGATGTGTATATATTTATTTATATATGTATATTTACATTTACCTTTTTGGTTGCGGGGACAGTGGCAGGAGAAATCTCTTGTCCTTCATATGGTACAAGTACAGGGATGTGTATATATTTATTTATATATGTATATTTACATTTACCTTTTTGGTTGCGGGGACAGTGGCAGGAGAAATCTCTTGTCCTTCATATGGTACAAGTACAGGTGCCTGTAGGCTAAGATGACCCTTGGTAGCAATCTCTTGTTTCTAATTTGGGAAACTACAATAAGACGGATACTACATTTCAAAATGGGACAGCAAAACATTCTGAGCATGGGCTGGACGAGGTGGCATCTTACAGTCCAGGAGAGACAGATCAAAATAAGTTTTTCTGGTGTTCTGGAAAGCTCTGTGGTAGGAAGTGCAAAATAATATGAGACAAAAAATTGCTGGCTGGGTTGAGATGGTGGGGAGGGGCTCGTCTGAAACAGTATGAAAAGTATTGATGAAAGGAGCATGTGAGGGGCACTTTTCCCCTTCTCACGCTGTGCTTGCCATGCCTGGGTGTGTTCAAATTCTCAGCACGTGGCAGTCAAGGGAAACCAACCTTCCATTCCCCAGATACAGGACACTCAACCCAAGCAGTAAAAGAGATACCCGCGTGCGCTGATGCTGGAGGAGGAAGGAAACTTGCATTATAGTGAAGCAACTGTGGGCATGGGAAACACAAACTTATTCTGTGTCCACTTGCGGTGCCACAGTAGTCCCAACCAACAGGTTGTTGTCCATCGAGGGGTTCGTGATGGGCTGCCATCTGTCCTGCTGTGCTGCAGAGACCACTTGGCCACAGACAGACTTGCCCAGCTCATCCTAAGGGAGGACTCTGGCCGTGGCTCCCAGCGACGACACCACTGCTGCGTCCTTGTCCATATCTAGAAGCAGAGCAGCACCTTTTCATATAAACATCCTTTTTCTTGGCAGTGGAAATGATGAATGGAGTTCCTTACTTCCAGGAAAAGCCTACAAAAACTGTAAGGCCCACGGTGCCAGTTAACCTCGGCAGGGGCTCTGAACAGTGTGCCATGCTCGGACCAGAGCTCTGCCTGGTGCTAAGGTTATCTGTGCTGTTCCCTTCTCGTGTTATCTCCAGTAAACATTTTAATCAACACCTTATGGAGTTGATTTTTCTTTCTTACTCATGAGTCTCTTTCTCTTTCTCCCTCCTCTCTTTTTGAAGAGAGGGATCAGGGGGAGCATCCGTCTTTCGCTTCAGTGGCCAGTCCAGCCCAAACCACAACATGGACTCTACGAAGAACACTTGTGCTGGTGCACTACATCTGGTGTAGCTGGCAGAGACTCGGTGAGAAATGGCTTTTTGGGGAAGGATAGTGTGGCCAGGACAGGGCGGGTGCCCCGCTGGCCCCACACCCAGGCACGGGGACACTTGCACAGTCTGTGGGTGGAGTGACTGCCCCGTGAGTCGGCAAACGGGGAAAGAGCCATCTGGGCAGCCCATCCCAGCTGAACTATTCACTTGCCTCCCAAAGGGAAAGGAAAGGGTAGTAAAAAAACATACCCAGCAGAATTTACCTTGTAGTTGGCTGTGACTAACACGCTTTCCAAAGAGTGCTGGGAAGTTTTGACCGGGCAGAGAGTTACAACAGACTGAGGTACGGGAAGAGCTGGCGTGGGTACCTCAGCAAGAAGAACTGATGAAAGAGTCAAGAGCTGCTGTGCCAGCTGGGAGGGGGGCAGCCCTGGTCGTAGCAGCAGGTATGAGGCCGAGACTGGGATCCTGCAACGTGGGACCACCAGTTGTGGGCAAGCAATAGGGATCCTGGACAACCTTTCATAGCTTCTGTGTGAGATTCCACCCGTGGCTCAAACTTACTGGCAAAAAAAAAAAAAGGGTCTAGAATAGAATTGTTGGTTTCTGCAATGCTTTTCCTTTTTTAAACAAACGCAGAAGTAACAAAAAAAAAATCTCGAAATCAGAGCAGAAGTAACATTAAAGGACGAAGGCGTAGCTAAGTCTTAGAGGATACTCAGACCTGTCTGATAACCAACCTTAACAGCTGTAGTCTACTGAATCTAAGTTAACCCTGTATGATACATGATCTTAAGGTGCTAAGGCCTTCCTTTTAAAGGAAAGGAATGAAAGAGAAGATGGTAAGTGTCTGTGCGTAAATATATCCAACTAATATACTGACATTTAAGCTAAAATGTAAATTTCGTCTGTTTATTATAGAGAAAGTAGAGGGAGACAGAAAAATAGAAGGGGAAGGAAAAGTGAGTGAATCTATTGGGTGTTCCTATGAAGGAAAATACTCCAGCTCTGGGAAAAAAGAAACCTACTAATAAAAAACTTTTGTTAATCTCATTTTCAACAGGTAACAAAGGAACCAAGCATCCAAAAAACTTCTGGACTCTTACCCGCTTAATCCAGGACTTTTGTGCGAAAGGAACCAAGCATCCAAAAAACTTCTGGATTCTTACCCGCTTAATGCCATTCCATCCTCCAGGACTTCTGTGCAGAACCCCATTGACTGCTCCAGGTCATTAAATGGATGGTTTCCACACCTGGAAAACGCAGCTGAGGGCATCTAGTTCTCCATTGACTTTGTCCTAATCATTTTCATCCCATCTTTCATCTTACTTTCCCTTCCCATGGAATCACTTCAGTTGATTTGTGTTTACACAGACCTCATACAACTAAGAGGACACCTCTGCTCCTCTGAGTATTAGAAGAGGATTCAAAGATTTGAAACAGCAGTAGCATTTGTTTTGCTGAGCTTGGGGCAGGTGGTGATCTTTACAACAGCACTTGTTTGCCCATCAGGTTCCTGAAGTGGTTCCTGGAGCTGCCACTTCACAACACACAATCCATCACGACTTCCAGTTGTCAACTGGGAAGCTTTCCACCACAAGTCCATTTCTCGCTAGCACCCAACAGTATTTTGAGCTTTTACATCACCCACCTATGAAAAAAAACACTTCATCTATATTCCCCCACTGCTTGGATGTGAAACCTGGCCCCCAGCAAGCAACTGGCATACAGGCAATGAGCAAATACCCAAAGCCAGCCTGGTCCTACACTGTCAGTGGTGGTCAGTCCCCTTCCCACAAGCTTTGATTCCATGGCACATTGAATATGGGTTAATAATAAACATAACCTTCCTTCTTTTTCAGGCTGACAGTTCTGAGAACAGGTGCCAGGCTAACCTGAGCATTTCAGTCATTTCTGAACAAGCAGCAGCTCCATAATGAGATTCCCCCAGAGAGCATTAAAGCTCTTTTTTTTCTAGAAAACTCAGTAAACAGGTTTGGGGAGTATTGGCACACACAGGAACACACACACAAAAGAACGTACAAGAAACACAGTAATGGTTTTGCAATTCTTGAGTTTAATTACTTCAGCATGTGGGTTCTTGCTATTCAGCCTTCCCCTTTCCATCGCAACCTTTTTAAGGAAACTTGCATAAATACACACTTTTCCTAGACCAGTACATAAACCAGACACAGATGCACAAGTTCTTATTTGCAGTTTTCCCAAGCCTTGGTTTCTTAACTTCTTAAAGAGAGAAAGTGTATTAAAAAACTATTACGAGATCAGATCAAATATCTGATGGGGAGATGCACTGAGATCAGAGGGCTCCATGATGGAAGAACATGACAATAATCCGTAACAGGAACTACGCTTCGGTCTAACCTGTTCAGGAAGTCAGAGTTACAGCAGATCAGCCACTCAAAGAACCTCGTTGTCTGCGCTCTGCTGTCAAAATATCACAGAAGAAAAGCCTGGTTTTGACTGTTTCACTCTTGGCAAAACTGAGGCCTTTGGGAAGAAACGGGAAAAAAAGCAGAACCCAAGACAGATACACAATTCACTCATTTCCCCCTCTCCCTTTAGCTCACGAAAACTTGAGACTATTCAACTCTTTGTCCCAAGAAGCAAGCAAAAGAAAGACTAGAAAAGGCTAGAATAAGACATACTTGACAAAAGGCAATTCAAAAGATCCAAACGTGAAGGGCCACGAGGTTAAGAACAGTTACAGAAGCATGGGAATAAAATGACACTGTGAAGGCATTACACATAGACACACACACCCAGCAGCAAGATCCTCCTCTGCAACTCAAAAGATTGGACGTGGAAGCACAAATCCAATCAAGCAAGGCCAGTACAGACTAGTAGGCTTCAGAATATCAGATTAACTTGGATTCTTGAATATAAAAAAAAGAAAAGAAAAAAATAATAAATTTCAGAACTTATCAGTCCAGAAGCTTTGGAGAGAACAAAGCCTGTAGGTAGCCTGAACTTCTAAAAATGAAACAAAATTTACAAGTAATTGTGCTGGTAGGAAATATCATGTGATATTATACAGTGGGTTTTCTACCTGCCTCCAGGCCTCTTCTAGCCCCAACAGGTTGGTATCACTACAGCAAATTTCAGGTTTGCCTGGGCTACAGGCAGACTGTTACAAACTCGGTATCAGCGAAGGAGAACTTGCGATTCCACTGTCACCGGGGGCTGATGCCTGCGTTACAGCTGCTCAGAGAAGTTCAGAAAACAGCATAGAATGGAATTTTGGGGAGAGATTTTTCGATTAAGCAGCCCCCTTTTTTTTTTTTTTTGTAATTCGCTCTCAAAGGATTCAAATGCATCTAGTTAATGAAGCTTAAAGACTCCACAAGCAGAAAACGCAGGAAAAAGTCCAGTGTACATATAGGGTCAGGTAAACAAGCAGCAGCTGCGAGCACAAGACAAATATTAATGTAATGTCCTATATCAATGCAAGTTACCCCATGACTCCTTTTTTTTTCCCTCCCCTCTCATTTTAAGGGCAGCTGCTGGACTTTGCTAGACGTGGATCAGTTCTACTCAAAATTTCTGAGGACGCGTAACTTGTGAGCTAGGTGCAGGTTACCCTAGAAGAACTGCCATGCAATGTGCATGAGAAATCAGCATTACGCAGGGTGGCAAGCACTTCCTACCACAACACCTATAATCTGTGGCAATGGATGCGTGTTAGCATGTTAAAAAGTAATATTCCACAGTTAAAATGTAATTTTCCATAGGAAAAATGTTCCCTGTATACCTAGGAGTCAATCTAGGAGTACGAAAGTGACTTAAGCAGATGCAAACAAAGGTAGCCATAAACTATTAAAAAAGAAATCTCAAATTAAAAACAAAATTTAAAAAAAAAAAAATAATCTTACTTCCAAACAACTGACAAGCCACCTATTGAAACAGGCTCTCAAAAAGAGTAAAACCCTTGTTGTAAATATTACACACTACATTACTACCCAGCTAATAAAAAAAAACCCAACAAAAAACCAACAAACCCCCCCCAGCCAAACTTTACAAACTGGATACAAACAGATTTCCTTTTGCAATAAGGATATTGGATAAAAAGTTATGGAATACGTTGCGGTATGTTTACGAGGAGGTTGCTCTTCTCCTCCGCTCAGTGCTTTCACTTCCACCAGCTCTTCTTTTGAGCTTGTTTTCAGTTTTTTCCACACATTCTCTTTGCTTATAGAAAGAGAATTTTCTTTTTTCTATACAGAACATGGCACCTGGGAAGCAGGTGAGGACAGAGATCAAACTTCTCGCCGATCCATTTCTTTTGTGACCCATTTCCCATCACTAAGCCAGTTACAGATGCCACGTCAGTTCAAGACGTTTCTATCTCAGAGGCCTCTTCTATGAAGTTAGCAACAGGACTTAGGAGCAAGAGTGGAAACAGTTTATACTCTCCATTCCCATCTTCTGAGAGGAGAGGTGGATCACCCATTCCCAGCGCATCCAGAGGCTCAGCCTGGCTTGCTGGAGCTGCTGGCGGCACAACAGTTTCGCTACTAGATGGAGGATGAAGAGCAGGTTTCTCCTCCACGGGGGGCAGCAGAAGGTCTTTCGGATCCTCTATCTTCCCTGCAGCTTCGCTCAAAGGTAGTTCTTCAAATAATGAAAGCAGAGGATTGGCCCTGTACTGTATCAGCTGCATATCTGAGAGAAAACAAACAGTTTAAACTCCAAGGCTCCTGCGGCACATAAGCGAAGGCTCTTATTCAAGACAAGGACAACTGGAGAGGCTGCTTCAAAACTTGGTTCACTAAAGAAAATCAATACAGCTGAGCTCTGACAGACTATATCCACAGCTGCAAGAGGGGAGCTAAGGCTCCTGTGGCTGTCAAGATCAGTGTCTGAAGCACACTTCAAGCCCCCAACACATATGGCACACAATGGCAACACTGAAGTAGTTAAAAATGAGTAGCACTGCATTTGTGGGGGTTGTAGCCCATGTAGGAGATACTTCCACAAGGACATTTGCAGTTCTGCTCTCTATTGTGGCGTTCTGTCATGTATAGGAAAAGGAAAAAGGAAACAGTTAACACCAAACATGGGGCATAGGAGGGATGGGGCCTCTTAAGACTGAGGCACAGCTTCAAGGTCAGTGAAACATCCCAGTCTTCACAAACATTTTAAGCCCAGACCAAAGGAGGAGAGATAAAGCATATTACAGGCTACAAAAATTCCACTTCAACACACAGTTTTGGAAGAGTCTGGAACTGTCACAGCTCTCAGTGTTCCTTCCTGCCCACCTTTGCTTCCTGCTGTTTCTCTCTCACTCGCTCCCAGATCTTCAGGGTTCTCTGCCAAGTTTGCAATCTGAAGCAAAACGGACAGAGAGTAAGACAGAATGTTTAAAAACAACAACAAAATCCAAGTCTTCACTGACTGGTTAACAAAATTAAAGGGAAGAACAATGGAAGAATTGACCAAGGAGGCCACTGGTGCACATGAGGGTCAGCAAACAGAGCTCCCAGAAGAAGGTCCGGTGAAATACAGACAAACTAAACTGACTAAAGCCAAACAAGCTTTGACTAGCAAATATTTATTTTACCATACTTTCTCCTATTGGAATAACACTGTTAAACATGATTTCATCAATACGATTATATTTTGCAAACACTACTTGAAAACAGCTGCATTTTACCTCAGTTGTGGTCTAAGCTCTTATGACTGGGAAGTCATAGTTTAAATATTATTACAAGACCACAAAATAAGTGACACTTGCAAGGTTGTTTGGTTGGGTTTTTTTAAACATGAGTCAATTTTAGGAACTGGACCAAGATAAGTAAATTTGCACTGGACTTTTGTATGTCCTCTGAGGAAATTCCACACAGCCATGTTGGAATAAATACAGTATATTGCAATATATTTTCATATCGTACTTTTCCTTCCATTTTCAGACAGACTGAAGACACTATCTCATCTGAACTATAACCCCAGACCTAGTTATTACTTGACTAAAAGACATCATGGGAATCCCCAAGGCTAGAAAAAAACAAGATAAGAAACTGTTCTCACATGCTTAGACCAAAAAAAGACAAGATTTTCTACCCTCCTCATTCTAAACAGAAGGAACAGAAGTAATAGATAAGAAAAAAAAATTCCTCAATATAGACAGCTGATTCAACAAACACCAGTTTGTTTCCCTCTTCCTTATGTTCTCAGGTGTATTCAGAAAGCAAAGAAGATGTTACTCAAAGCAAAGTGACAGTTTAAATCAGCCCACTGAGTGTATTACTGCAGCTAGGAACATAAGACTTGAAATTATCTTGAGAATCCTCTTAAATTCACACACTTCAACAGCGATAACTGAAAACATTAAGTCAGCAGGGCTAGATAAAATGGCAGTTTCATCCTGTGCTATCAATCCAGTCTCTCCTTTCAAACTGCATCAGTCAAAATTTAGCTCTCAACCTCATATTAACCCTCCCCATCACAGAAGCAAATCTTACTCTTACATTTTCCATGCCAGGGGAAGTTTCCATCAAGCTCATATCCAGGGCTGGCAGCTCAGGATTAAGCGTCTGAAAATAAAAACAGACCATAAGTCATAGAATAAGGGCCTTAAAGCTTCAGAAAGCTCCTGAAAGGAGAGCAGGGTCCAGCACACCACTCCATCCAAGCAGGTTTCTCCTCCACGGGGGGCAGCAGAAGGTCTTTCGGATCCTCTATCTTCCCTGCAGCTTCGCTCAAAGGTAGTTCTTCAAATAATGAAAGCAGAGGATTGGCCCTGTACTGTATCAGCTGCATATCTGAGAGAAAACAAACAGTTTAAACTCCAAGGCTCCTGCGGCACATAAGCGAAGGCTCTTATTCAAGACAAGGACAACTGGAGAGGCTGCTTCAAAACTTGGTTCACTAAAGAAAATCAATACAGCTGAGCTCTGACAGACTATATCCACAGCTGCAAGAGGGGAGCTAAGGCTCCTGTGGCTGTTAAGATCAGTGTCTGAAGCACACTTCAAGCCCCCAACACATATGGCACACAATGGCAACACTGAAGTAGTTAAAAATGAGTAGCACTGCATTTGTGGGGGTTGTAGCCCATGTAGGAGATACTTCCACAAGGACATTTGCAGTTCTGCTCTCTATTGTGGCGTTCTGTCATGTATAGGAAAAGGAAAAAGGAAACAGTTAACACCAAACATGGGGCATAGGAGGGATGGGGCCTCTTAAGACTGAGGCACAGCTTCAAGGTCAGTGAAACATCCCAGTCTTCACAAACATTTTAAGCCCAGACCAAAGGAGGAGAGATAAAGCATATTACAGGCTACAAAAATTCCACTTCAACACACAGTTTTGGAAGAGTCTGGAACTGTCACAGCTCTCAGTGTTCCTTCCTGCCCACCTTTGCTTCCTGCTGTTTCTCTCTCACTCGCTCCCAGATCTTCAGGGTTCTCTGCCAAGTTTGCAATCTGAAGCAAAACGGACAGAGAGTAAGACAGAATGTTTAAAAACAACAACAAAATCCAAGTCTTCACTGACTGGTTAACAAAATTAAAGGGAAGAACAATGGAAGAGTTGACCAAGGAGGCCACTGGTGCACATGAGGGTCAGCAAACAGAGCTCCCAGAAGAAGGTCCGGTGAAATACAGACAAACTAAACTGACTAAAGCCAAACAAGCTTTGACTAGCAAATATTTATTTTACCATACTTTCTCCTATTGGAATAACACTGTTAAACATGATTTCATCAATACGATTATATTTTGCAAACACTACTTGAAAACAGCTGCATTTTACCTCAGTTGTGGTCTAAGCTCTTATGACTGGGAAGTCATAGTTTAAATATTATTACAAGACCACAAAATAAGTGACACTTGCAAGGTTGTTTGGTTAGGTTTTTTTTAAACATGAGTCAATTTTAGGAACTGGACCAAGATAAGAAATATGCACTGGACTTTTTTATGTCCTCTGAGGAAATTCCACACAGCCATGTTGGAATAAATACAGTATATTGCAATATATTTTCATATCGTACTTTTCCTTCCATTTTCAGACAGACTGAAGACACTATCTCATCTGAACTATAACCCCAGACCTAGTTATTACTTGACTAAAAGGCATCATGGGAATCCCCAAGGCTAGAAAAAAACAAGATAAGAAACTGTTCTCACATGCTTAGACCAAAAAAAGACAAGATTTTCTACCCTCCTCATTCTAAACAGAAGGAACAGAAGTAATAGATAAGAAAAAAAAATTCCTCATTCTAAACAGAAGGAACAGAAGTAATAGATGAGGAATTTTTTTTTTCCTAATATAGACAGCTGATTCAACAAACACCAGTTTGTTTCCCTCTTCCTTATGTTCTCAGGTGTATTCAGAAAGCAAAGAAGATGTTACTCAAAGCAAAGTGACAGTTTAAATCAGCCCACTGAGTGTATTACTGCAGCTAGGAACATAAGACTTGAAATTATCTTGAGAATCCTCTTAAATTCACACACTTCAACAGCGATAACTGAAAACATTAAGTCAGCAGGGCTAGATAAAATGGCAGTTTCATCCTGTGCTATCAATCCAGTCTCTCCTTTCAAACTGCATCAGTCAAAATTTAGCTCTCAACCTCATATTAACCCTCCCCATCACAGAAGCAAATCTTACTCTTACATTTTCCATGCCAGGGGAAGTTTCCATCAAGCTCATATCCAGGGCTGGCAGCTCAGGATTAAGCGTCTGAAAATAAAAACAGACCATAAGTCATAGAATAAGGGCCTTAAAGCTTCAGAAAGCTCCTGAAAGGAGAGCAGGGTCCAGCACACCACTCCATCCACCAAAGCAGAGGGAAGGTGGCTCCTCCAGCAGCCAACAACAATAACTTTCAACCCATGACAGTAAACTGAGGTCACAGGAGAAGACAAGGACACCATATTTCTCAGCAATTCCAGGCTAATCAGGATGTGATGATATGTGACAAAGGCTTGAGAAGGAGAAGAATCCAATTTTTCCTTCCCCCTCCTCCCCCTTGAGTTATGTGTAACAGAAACACTGTATGAACTGAAAAAGGCTCTCAATGTTGCCTCGTACGTTCTTGACTCCTAGAATGACCACATATCATTCTATCCATAACTATTTGCTTTTCAGTATTTTGTCCCCCTCTTGCCTGTTACAACATGGAATAGAACAGTAACATTTCATGACACAACCTAACCAGTATTTTTTCAGAAATTAGGGAACATTGAAAGGACACTCACGTCGCTGAAAGCTTCAGAACCAAAGTTATACTGCTTCCCGGATAACATTGCTTGAAGCTCTTCAAGGCTGGCATCAATGCAGTTAAGAAAATCCTGAATTTCTTCTCTAAAAAGACAAAACGATACAGAGTGGTGAGGAACAGTCAGCAGGTAGGGCCCTAATTTGCACCACAAGGCAGGAAAAACTCTTAGAAATGATCTGCCATCCTCTCAGCAAGGTGAGAGCCAGAGGGGGTCACCCATAATCCAGAATAGTTTATTGCCAAATGAATGAAACCACATTCCTCTATCACTTTCCACGGTCCAACTCTTTGAAGGACAGGTACACGGAAGACTATCCGAACAGCAAATATAATTATAGCTATCATATCAAAAAGCAGTTCCTCCTTCTGTATCTACTTCCTCCTTCATTTTAATATCTTTTGAATGTTCTCAGATCCCAGCCCAGGTACCAATATTTAAAACTAAGGTGTGATGGCTTTCACCTGGGGACAATAAATGCTAAGCAAAGGGTTGGAAATAATCTGGATCTGAAGGAACACCACCTATTTTGAAACATCTCACTAGTGTTGATTTGTATATGTTTCCAAGGGCTGTGGGCAGGATAGAAGGGACAGTGAATGAAGTGGAGGGGAAGCTCCATGCATGGTGCCAGAATTGAACTTCTCACTGCTCTGCAAGCTACCTCCTCTGCAGGGATACTCAGCTACAAGCAACAGAGAGTTCCAAGGCACTGCTGTACATTTTGCAGTGCCAATGAGAGAAAATATTCCAGGGCCTTCAGATTACACAGGAGCTGCTGCAACACATCATCTCACTACCTCCTACCTGAAGTTAACCACAGAAAAAGCTGTCAGGGGAAAGAACGAGTTTGTTCCTCGGTCCAGCTCACCCTGCAGCCCCACAAATGATGGGGCTGATAAAGCTGAGGGGCCAGTGCAGAGCCAGGAACTGCTTAAGCAGAATGTGAAACCACAGCCTGCCTGATTCTGATGCCAGGGGTGAGGCTGATCTGACAATGCACAGGGAAATAAACAGGGAAATACAGGGCAAAGAAAGGAAGCGACAGCAAAACAACATGAGACTACCACTGACACAAACCTGTATCCAGTTCTAAGAAACAAAGCAGCAGTTGGTGCCCTCCTGAAACCACTACCCCTGACCTGTTGTTCGGCAGCACTTGGCAGTGCCAGTGGTTGGTGGTACCAGGGCTGACGTGACAGACTGACCTCACCAGGCCTCAGACTGACACATCAGAAGTCAGGCACGCTTATTATCAGAGATGTGAGAGATGAACTTGCCCTGCTTTTAGTGTATGATGCTAAGGCTTGTCTTTTTCAAGACCTTCTAACAAAGGGGCAGAAAATCCAGTTAACCAATGACATTCAAAAAGTTAATTCACTATGTTCTGCCAAACACAGCCTCTAAAACTCTGCCAAGATGCCACAAGACAACGATAGCGTAACAGTTTCCAGCAACAAGTTCATACCTGTCCAGTAAAGGATCATTTTGGTTTCCAGAGTTGTTTTCATTCAAGATGGAGTCAATCACTGACACGGGGTCTTCTGGAGCATTAGGTTGCACAGTATGGAGTTCCACAGCGGCATTTTCCATTTCACTGTATTTATTGACATCATTTAAGTGCACTGGTGGGATAGGTTCTGCACAACTTAACTCATTTGGCTGCAATGCTTCACAAATAGGTAAGTCAGGATCCAGAGCTGCCTGTGTCTCTCTAAAACATGACCCAAAGAGAAACAACACACAAGAGAATTCATCAACTGTATCATTACTCATTTCAAGTATAGTATCTCAAATCTTAATACCTAACAAAGCCAGTCAAGGGTTCAAACTGGTCTTCAGAAAAAGACCACAACCCACTGGTCTTCAGAAAAAGAAGAAAAGTACCTTCCTAAAAGCAGATGAAGAATCTCTTATTACAGCTTATATAGATAGCATGTATCAGAGCAAAACACCCCATTTTGCCAGGCCAAAAGTGGCAAAATATTATATAGAAATCTGGTAGGAGGGAAACTCCTAACATTGTGTCTCTGGAAATAAGACTCCAAATTGGCTCATATTTCACTCTAGATAACAACAAGTAAATTGGTTTTCACAAGAATCTGATGCTACACAGAAGAATGCCTTCCATTCAGCTACGCTTAGAACTGAACTCCACTTAGAAGAACTGAAAGTGGAGACAAAACTAATCATCTTGGTTTGTTTATTACTAATCTACACATTCAGGTCCCTGTTCAGTCGAGAAATTAAGTATGTGCTTATTTGTTGAACAGACAGAAAAGCCTCAGCAAATTAAACTTCAAGTGCCAGTCAGCTCGACAGACCTTCAGGCACTCCTGAAGAGATACGAGCTCTTGAAAAACTTTGCTGACCATGACTGACGCTATGTGCTGTAAAAAAAGCAGTCTACAAACAGGCCTGACATGCACAAATAAGAGGCTGTTTCCCAGAATTTATATGGATCCCTTACACTAACACAACCACCTAGTTAACAACCTAAGCATAAATATTCCTGCATCCTTTAAATGTACCTGGCTTTGTCGCTTGTGTGTGCCACAGCAAGGAGACCACTGGGGCCAACTTCCAGGGTATCGGTGATATCTCGAATGATGAGACCTGTACCGTTTCCACCCTCATCATCTGCATTACGTTCAGAGAAAGCCATCTGCAGGATACAGAGAACAGAATGAGTAAACCAAAAGGTCTCTTTTTGACGCTGAAGCTCCATTCTTCTTGCAGCTTCTCTTCCCTGTTCAGATTTCACTTATGACTAGTTGTACCGATTTGCATGATTTTACAGACAGAGCAATGCTCTAAAGCTCTCCATTTCAAAATGGAGTGCATTTGGTGATAAGATTAGGGTATTAACAGTTATAAGGAAGATTTTGAGATGGCCCTGTACCATCTTGCCCAACCCACTGTCTCTCTCCCTGGGAAGACTTACTGCTTGGCCACTCTCCACAGGGATGCGAACATACTGACGACTGTATTTGGAAGGTGAAGCACCTGCAGCATCCGTTAGAGACCTGAGACAAAATACAGTATATGGTATAGTATATATAGTTCCGCAGTAAAAAGCTGTAGCAATGCCAAGTGCGTGCAGTAATGGCAAGAACAATCATTCTTCCACTTCTAAGAAAACTGGATTTTAGAAATGTTTTTTTAGTAAGCGTAGTGCAGACAGGCTGCATTCTAAACATGCTTTTCGTTTTGAGTAAGTCAGTCACACTTACATATTTTGAAAGAGTTACCATTTCTGATAAGTGTGCCCTTTGAAATTTAGAAGGTATAGTATACTCTCTTCCCATCCATTCTTTTTTTGTGATAAAGAAGATTAAATCTTTATTTCATACTTTACACTACTTCCTTCAGCTTTCTCAACTTTGAATATAAAAGTGATAAAAAATATTCTTCATACACTTGAAGTATCTTGTTTCTACAAGCTGATTTATCCCTACAATTCACATCTGACACTGATTTGTGACCTATCCAGTAATTACCTTTTTCTTTTCACCCCAACAATATAATTTCCTCGCATCAAACTTAGTATAAATTGAAGAATCTAAAAAGGAAAAACAAAAAACCAAAAACAAGTGGTCAGTATAGCAATCCTAACATTACATTACTAATTCAGACAGGTATATTAAAAATCCATTTGTGTTCAGGTCTTAAAAACCAAAATGATAGTTACAAATGGCATTAAAAGGTTATCCCACTTGGACAGGTTTGGGTTTGTTTTGTTTTTTTAAAATGTAATATAACACCACAAGTCACTAGAGGATTCCAGACCAGAAACAGCTGAGTGACAAACAAGAGAAAATTTGTTCCAGTGCAGAAGCTCCTATAGTTTCTGGGTTCCAAAGTTCACTTCTTAAGCAGTCTAAGTACATCTTGGTCCAAGATCTTTCACAGACTCCATCCAACGTGCCTGCAATCTCTTGTTTTAGGCTCCTGTTACCATGCACTGCCTCCAGCCCCATGTTTACCCCAGGTCAGTTTGATTTACTGCTTTCTCTCCAAATAAGACTCACTGAGATTTCAAACATATTGAAATCCTTTTTGACTATAACTTTTGCCTTAGCATTTTGCTCGTGGGTCTTTGCTGTGCTACTTCTGGGACACTCAGGAACTGTGAACATTTCTTTAGGCTGTATTAATATAGGCTGTTCAGCTCTGTGTCATTTGTCATTCTACATAAGCAAAGAATGCCATCAAGTCTCACAGAGGCAGGAATAAGGATGGTAGCACTGAAGATGCTGCAATGATACCTTAGACAGCAGCTTCTGTTGTTGACTGTGCTTCTGCCTTAGAACTGCCACTTCTTTCCACAGGGCCTTATTTTCTCTGCAATGCAGAATAAATCAGAAGACAGAGGATGAACAGAGTTTACTTTATATGCTTTGGTTTTACAGCTTTCAAACTTTCACAGTACCTTGCAGGACCAATGGCAACATTCCTTGTGTGGATAATTAACATTCAGTTAATCCAATCCACTAGTATAAACTCTGGGTTAAATTAACTCCATTTTCTATCAGGCAGGACCAAACACTCACTAATAAGGACATTCTCATCCACTGCTACTCCACCAATAATCTTGATCTGAGGCATTCCTTCAAAGCCTCAAAGCCTTAGAATCAAGACTTGGTGTTTGGAAACAGGTTGAGTGTTACACAGATCACCTCAGAATAGTTAGAATAGTTTCAGAGATTGTGTTTGAGGGGTTTTTGTTTATTTTTTCCTTTTTTTTTTTTTAAGGGATCAGCAGGAGTGGAGTGAAGGTATCTCCTGAACTTTGCTTGATATCTTCTTGTTTACCAATGATCTGAATGAATGACCAGTGCCTATACAAAAGGAACAGAGATGAGGACGTGCAAAGTCCACTTCTAATTGGAAAGAAAAGCAAAGACTAGTTCTCACTCACTGCATCTAACCCTGTTTTGTGTTTGAAAAGAAAATTTTATGATCGCCCTAAAAAACTACTACAGGTGATGCCAACCAAACTGAAATCTCAAGATAGTCAATGAACTCCCAGTCTTAATCTCTGGTCTGTGACTGAATTATAAAAACAAACAAGATTCAGAATGTTGTGTGGGGTGGAATGGGGATTCTTAGGAAACAAAATACAGCTTCACCTGTTTCCAGTTCAAATGAAACCCACATTTAGAGTCAAGGTCCATTAGATATAAGCCATATTCAATGAATAAGTGCCTCCGAAACAGACGGAGTCTACCTCCTCATGTTAGCCAGCCTGACATCCATGTTGTTCTGCTGCTCTCTCATCTCCTGGACTTCAGAAAGGACTTTGTGCAAATCTTCTGTATAGACCTTGAGATCCTCAGTTCTTACTGCAGATACCTAAAACAGGAACAGGTTACACATGCTTTACTATGAACAGTGCCTTGCATGCTCCTTTCTACAGGAGCAGTGTAGTTGGTCTGTAAAAGAACAGGTACAAACCTCATTAAAAAATTAAGTAACACTGTAATTCTTATGTATTGTACAACACTGCAATTGCTATAGATGACAGTCCTTAGGACAGTCTACACTGTCTTATGTATCAAAAAGCCAAGATGTCAACGAAAACATGAGATTACCACTTTGTACAAGTAGTCAGTAGATTTGCCATTGTATTTAATGACAAAAACCTACCACTGATTGAAAATGGCCTTCCCTAGGGGGCTCTCTGATAGGTCTGGTGACAGCTGGGCCTCTAGTGTCACAGTAAGACACCAGCCAAAATCAGAATTGATAGTGGAGTAAGAATGACATGATCATATTCCTTTTTGGTGTGGGTAAATCTGCCAGCCCAGGACTAAAAAATTTCCATTAGCTTACAGGGAAGGGTGGGTGGAAAAAAAAAAAAAAAAGGGGAAAGAAGAAAAAACGAGGTATCTAATTAGACACACCCTACTTGATTTGAAAATTCATCCCACATCACCTAAATTGCAGATTCTTATACTGGTGTATCACCTTTCTGCTCAGTGACATTCCAAAATTATAAAGACTTGTCTCCAGAAAGTCAGAGCTCTTCTGCCCACAGCAGAATCCATGAATGTCCCCTCTTCAAATGATGGCAAAAGAGTCATCAGAAAACAAAGACCTCACTCTCTCCTCTCTACACTTCCATATTCAAAATTCCCCAATTCCTTCAGTAACTCTCTCTGCCGTGGTGGCACTTACGACTAACATCCAATGCAGGATTTTGGAACAGATGGGTCTGGTGCATCACACGCCTGAATGACACGTCCAGGTTTTGTGGGCATAATTTTAAAAATCATTCAGCCAAATACTGGCCATCATTGAACCAAATGGAGTTGCATGAGATAACCACCAGATGTCCCTTCCCACCTACAGTACGCTCTGGTTTTTCTTATTGTTCTACTAAATTCCAAGGGGGAAGGTGAAAGCCCCTGGGATTGGCCTGCTGAAGGGCTAGATAACTTCCATGCAGGCTGACTCACAGATCCGTTCTTCCCAAAGAAGAATGGGATGGTCATAAACAGACTTATAAAGTAACATGCCATCACTTCATGATGAAACAGAACATAATTGTTACGCAATCGGTCCACAGAAATAACTAACCCCTTTCTTAACATAAACCAGTGTCACAAAGGATGGATTGAATGGCCTGACAGTTCTCTGTCTACATTTTAAGATGCTTCTCTATTCCTTGCAGATAATACCTTATCGTAAGGTACGTGAGCTGTGTCCCAAGTGAAACTCATGGCTGTCTGATTTCCCTTCAGCGTACCACCTCTCTGCGGGGAAGACACCCAAAAGATCCAGAGAGCAGGTGGAGATTTCAAAGACAGTCAGTCTGCCCCTAAAAAAAGGGCCAGACTAAAACATTCTGTCCAGGTGCAAGGAATTGCTCTCTTCAGAGTCTCTAACTAGGTAATAAGAATGTCCAGATTGACGCACACCAGCAGAATACTAGGGAGGAAATAAAGGGAGTCCTGCCTTTAAACTTGCATTCCTGTTAGAGCCTTGAAATCCAGTTTACAGCAAGTACTGGACTATGACTCCATTCCAGACAGGAAAAGATCAAGAAAAACTAATGGACGTTTGGCAAAAAAAAATCACTAACGTTTCCTGTGCAACAAAGAATCTTTCACCAAACTATTCAACAGTTCCATATGAACATCCTTGGCACTAACTGGAGCTTTTGTCTTTCCATCTAGACTACTCCACCCAGCGCAACACCCCTGGGATGTGCGGTGCCCACACATAACATCAACAGCCGACTGCCCCGACGGACCGGCAGGCGAGGTGTGCGAGCCAGGGCAAGTCAGAGATGACAGCGTCTGGGAAGAGCACAGCCCCGAGCCAGAGGAGCAACTGTAGGACCATATTTCGTGAATTGTGATTCTGAGCAGAGACAGCTCAGCGAAGAAATCAATCAAAACACAATTGTGACTCTCAAGGCGACCCTGCGCTTTTATTAACTCGGGCGATGTCCCTACCACATGATGACATTCTAAAGAAAAGCTTCTGCAGTTCAAATGTCAACCTGATGCATCATGATACTCTCTTTCGCTGGCAGCCAGGATATTATGGGCTGTAATGTGCCAATAGAGGATAAATATCAGTGCAGAAACAGGTCAGACAAGGCCTGAATGTACAAAAGAAGACTGGAAAGCGCTAGTAAAGATGTAGCTTAATGGCAACACAGTTGTGGAAGAACGATGTAATTTACACAATCTCACCCAAAATAACTGATTACTGATGCCCTTGCTAAATTTCAATGAGCATCAAATGGAAATGTATTTTCTTTGACTTCTTTTGCTTTGTGACTCTTTCCAACTCTGCTGCGCTGCTAGAATTGAAGACCATGCTAAGCTGAAATGGGGTATATAAACTCTTTGTGGAAAAAGGGCTCTAGTTTGACAGCTCAGAAGGACGTGGTCCTGCTCCAGTGCGTTGCTAAACAGCAGCAGGCTGTGTTTTGTGTAAGAGCTGGCATGAAGAGGCCAAGCCAAGCATTAGCCTGGCATTCGAGAGGGAGTTACAAAGGCTTGCATCATGATGCACAACCTCGGTTCCCAAGGAATTTGTTGGCTGTAAAGTGTTTGAAACCCCCAGGCATGCTCTTCACAAGCTACTTCTCATAACAAAGTGAGGTACATGCTTAGACCGTACCTTTCGCTTGATGTTCTCCAGTAAGTGCGCCTTCCCTTGCTTGAAGAAAGGGTGCTGGAACTCAATGACTGAGCTTCTCTCCACTGTAACCATACCATTCTCCAGAGCAATCACCTTCCTGAAACCATCTGTGGAGAGGTATTAACAAAGTCATTTCTTTCAGTGCAAAGCTGACTGTTATAACACACAGCTAAAGAAAAAGCCAAGGCTACTGAAATACCTACTGTATATACCTACAGTTACTGGGAGCAGAAACTATGAAAAACAGCCATAGTAAGCTTTTCTTTGGTGCTCAATGACTTAACAGCTCCCCTCGCAGCAAGGGAACATGTCCCCAGTCCCACCAAATGGCCTTGCAGGCTGTACAAACAGCACACATGGCAGAGGCCAGCCAGTGTCTGCAAGCAAGATAGCGATGTCCAAATAATCACAGAAGTTATGTTAGAAATGAGATTTATTAGGACATCTTGAATAAAATCTTCTCTCAGTGGAAGCAGCAGAGAGGTGCACCTTCCTTTTAATTTCTATAATCCCAGACTGCTACATATCAAATCCAATGCTGCCACATACCACCGGGGTCTACAGACTAAAGTAAGGAAGAGAAATTAGCTCTCAGCCTATGCAAACACATGCACACAGAGTACTTTCTCCATACCAGGCTGCCTGCATGATTGAAGACATTGCCAGCTCTACTTCCATCACTGCTTCAAGCACCGCAGGGCAGACAGAAAACAGAGTTGACAGACCAATCCATCTCTCTCCTCGTTCAAGTTTTCAACATGGTTAATGTATTCTAGTTTCACTGTGCCCCAACAGCGCTATCATTAGAAAACTTTACTTGAAGCTAGGATAGGTCCAGAAGGAAAAGGCCATTGGCACTGCAAGTCTTCACAGGAATATTTGCATTTTAGCACTTACCCTTGCTACAAGGCAACTGTCAATTAATTGTTTGCATTATCCTTTGACACTCAAGTGATGGAGTCTCAACACTCGACACAAACAGAAGCATTTACCCTGTGTCAAGAGGCTACATGTGTGCTTTCTCGCTCATGTCTGACAAAAATCTAAGTAGGCATCAGCTAAAGAGGCCAGGGAAACCTACTGGGCAAGGACAGAGAGTTCCTTCCCCTTATTCTGAATGGAAATTCTAAATAATGCAGCGATCTTCCATGTGGTTTGTACTTTCACCCAGCCCACAAGCTATCTGCTGCTAAAACCACATTTCTGCTGTGTGTTGCAGCCCCGCACATTGTACTATACATCTGAACAGCCACTTCATTCCAGCTTCTGTGCCTATACAAGCTGTACATGAGCTATCTAACAGATGCTACATGATGCCCACAAGCCAAGCACAGAAAACATGATGAGAAACTTAGTCCAGCTCGATCCATCAGTGTGACTAATCTTGTTTCAACACAGCAATGCAGGTGACAGCATGATCTAGGGATTAATTTTTTTTTCATAAACTAGATGTATGGGGTAGATATTGCCTTCATTCCTCCACCTAGGCATAACTTTGCTGTTACCATTAACACTACCACTGGAGCCCAGTGAACTCTACCCAAGCTTTAGGTACCAGGACACAAAACAGTATTTTTACAATCATTGCTCAAAAGGACTCAGAACTGAAACACAGAAAACAAAGACTAAGCCAAGCTCTACTATTATTCTTTTCTTTTGCAAAGCAAACTCAAGACCAGAATTCAGGTTTTCAGGGATGAAGGCCCTGCCAAGTCAACTGGTTTGCTTAAAGAAATTCAAATTGAAGCCAAGTAGCAATGAACTTGGCAGAAACGATATGTAATAACAGCTGATGCTTACACATGTTAAGCTGTCGTATGAAGCTGGAGATATTGTTGTGTTTGAAGTACTTGGGGAGAAGCCCCTTGGCAAACCGCTGCTCATCCAGAATGCAGAAATTCTCACCATTCTAGGAAATAAACAGAAGTAACAGTTAGAAAACAAGCACAGTTTTTCTAAGGTGTTGCTCATAAATCAAGACCATAAATCGACAGAGATGGTTCCTATAAGAGGGAAGAGCAGAACACTGAGCAAAGGGAATTGTGAGCACTTCTGAGTACTCGGGACTGCAGTAAAAAGTCTGAATCCAAAAAAGGCAGTGACATGGAACACTGAATGAGGGATTTAAGTTTAGATCTTAATCCAAAGAAAAATCGTTCTAAAACCCCGCATATCCACAGCTCCTTTCCACAGGAAACATAAATATTGCCCAAGCACAATGGAATTCAGGCCACTAGAGGGCTTTTATCTCCCCGATCAGAGCTTGTCCAGTTCCTGACGAGATTCTTCCATTGTATGTACTATGTCACCACTAAAAATAACCAAGTAACATTGCAGAGTAACTACAAGTTCAGACAAGGCAACTCTGCCGTGACAAAGGGTAACTGTGACACACACAGTTTTCAGATTTAATCCTCTTCTCCAGTTCAAACTTCCCAAAACCCGGCAGCTCCCAAAACCCAGCTGTATCGTTTGATTGGGATGGGGCTTTGGGGCAAGCTGGTCCGGTGGGAGGTGTCCCTGGCCAGGGCAGGGGGTTGGAACTGGATGATCTTTAAGGTCCCTTCCAACCCAACCCAGTCTGTGATATTATGATTTCGCTGCTGATCACAAAGAGAACAAAAATACTATGTTTCTTTTCATCTCTGTCGTTGGAAAGGCCAAACTTCTGGATTAAAAAAAACAACAAAAAACAAACAAACAAACAAAAAAGTGGGGGAAAATCCTACGGATTTAAAAATGCCCAGGGACAAAAATAAACACCACGTTTGTGTCAGATGTCAGACTAATCTGTGGACGTTTGCAGTGCCCTACGCCCGAAGCCACGCCGGACCAACCGGGCCCGCCTTCCTAATCTCAGGAAGAAAAATCAAATTAATCAAAGTTAATTACTTCTTCAAGCGCTTTTCCTGCCCAGCGTCACCGCTTGGAGCCCATTACGGGCAGTTCAGAGTTTTTAAGGCTCCGCTGTGCGGTACCGGGTGCCTTGGAGTCTCCAATGCGTGGTCCCTGCGCAGGCAGCAGCATCCCCCGCACCGGGGGTACCGGATACCGGGGGTACCGGGGGTACCGGGGGTACCGGCGGGGCGGCAGCGCGCTCCTTAGCCCCGCCCTCCTCCTGGCCCCGCCCCGCCGGCGAGCGTGACTCTTGTTGTGCTCCCGGGGGAGCGCGGCGCGCGGCCCCCCGTGACATCACCGGGCGGCTTTAAAGGGACCGCCCCCTCCCCACCGCCCCCGCCGGCCTCCCCGGGGACCGGGACGGCACCGCGCCCCGCCCGGCAGGTAGGTGCCGGTGCCCACGTGCCGTAGCTCCCGGGGTTCGCATCACGGGGTGGGGGCGCGACCCCTTCACCCCTAACCCCAGGCTGTGGGGGTACCGAGCCCGGTACCGGTAGGTACGGCGGTCCGGTGGGGCTCCGCCGCCCGGGTTCCGCGGGGCCGGGCCTGAGGCGGGAGGCGAGGCAGCGCCCCTCTTTACAGCCCAGACTTTGTCCCCTCGTCACTCTGCAGGCTCCCGCCGCCGGAGATGTCTCCCCGCTGACGGTCCGGCCCCGCGTCCTGCCAAGTAAGGGGTGACACGGTTTCCTTCCTTCCTTCTTTCTTTAGCACTTGTTTGACTTTCCCCTCTCTTTCTCGGGCAGTGGTTTCTCCGCGGGCAGGTGTCGGGAAAGAACCCCCTCTTTTTGGTAAACCCAAAGTTGGTTACCGACCGAGTAGACTGAAAACTTAATTTTCCTCTTCATTCCCAATTCCTGGACTATTGTGCAAAGGGAAGTCCTGGGCGTAAAGATTCTGCTATAAAACAGCAAGATTCAGGGTTGAACGTAATACAGAGTTTGTTGGTTTTATTTTTTTTCTTTAACCAAGGTGTGTATTTCAAAGAAAAATTAACTTTTTTGAAAAGAATTTGTAGTTGTCGGTTTCCTTCACCTTGCCCTGGTAGAGTGACTAAATGGCAATTTGTCACCGTAAAGGGAATGTGAGACCGGACTCAGCCGGTCCTGCTGAATCTCCACTGAGTCCTCCTGCTTTGCTAGTTCTGAAAATTGCCCCAGAGGTACGTGCAAAGTCACGTTCAAACTCCAGCCCGAGGTCCTCAGCCTCAGTGAGGCTGTCCCAAAGACTTTGTCCTTGAGGTTGTATGTTTTTTTCAAGGCCAGAGCACGTTCGTGAAGCATTTAGATTGCCCTGGCTTCTGGTTGAGTCTGGTTTCTCTGGTAAATACCCTGCTGCTGCGGTGCGGAGCTTTTGGGGTGGTGAGTGGGGGCTCTGCCATGGGGAAATAGTGGGTTGGCAGTGTGAGGCAGTTTGCCTCACACTGGGTTGCCTTGGGAGGCAGTTTTCACAACCAGCCTTAAGAATGGCATTTAGATTGCCCTGGCTTCTGGTTGAGTCTGGTTTCTCTGGTAAATACCCTGCCGCTGCAGTGCGGAGCTTTGGGGTGGTGAGTGGGGGCTCTGCCACGGAGAAATAGTGGGTTGACAGCGTGAGGATGTGCCTTGGGAGGCAGTTCTAAGAGCTTTAAGAGCTGCTGTTCCTCCTTGTGTAAAGTCCAAGCTTTGCCCTTTCCTAAGATTTGATACTGCTTGCAAAAAAACTACTAGTGTGAGAGGACACAAAGATTAGACCCCACTGACTGCTCGCTCCTCCGGGACGGTTGCCCCACACATCGGACATGCTTTCCCCGGAAAGCTGCTCCTCTGTACTTTGACCCGTGATGACAAGAAGGCCACTTCTTTGGCTGAGTCCAAAGCATCTCCTTGCCCTTCCCAGCAGGGTGTGTGCCGACAGGAGGAGAGGTTTCGGGCTGAGCACTGGCTGTGTCTTTCCACATTGCTGTCCCCACTGCCTTTTGTTGTTTGTTACGGGGGGTGTGCGTGTGTGAAGCCACAGGGGTACAGCTTTCCAAGCTCCTCTTTATTGGCACGGTGGGTGAGACAGTGTGGGTGCTTCACTTGGAGCAGCAATTGCAGAGAATGAGGTTGGTGAAGTTGATGGACAGTGTGTAGCAAGTCCTCTGCCATCATCCCTCCTCTGCCATCACCACGGGGAAGGGGCTGTTCTGTACCCAAGGACATGCTTTCCCCGGAAAGCTGCTCCTCTGTACTTTGACCCGTGATGACAAGAAGGCCACTTCTTTGGCTGAGTCCAAAGCATCTCCTTGCCCTTCCCAGCAGGGTGTGTGCCGACAGGAGGAGAGGTTTCGGGCTGAGCACTGGCTGTGTCTTTCCACATTGCTGTCCCCACTGCCTTTTGTTGTTTGTTACGGGGGGTGTGCGTGTGTGAAGCCACAGGGGTACAGCTTTCCAAGCTCCTCTTTATTGGCACGGTGGGTGAGACAGTGTGGGTGCTTCACTTGGAGCAGCAATTGCAGAGAATGAGGTTGGTGAAGTTGATGGACAGTGTGTAGCAAGTCCTCTGCCATCAGCATCCCTCCTCTGCCATCACCACAGGGAAGGGGCTGTTCTGTACCCGAGTTTCTTCAGGTCCTTCACCAGGACCTTCTGAAGGGCTTGCTGCTGGAGCAGAGCTATACCGTGTTGATGGATCACAAATATCTCAGATGTAGAGATCCCTGCAACCTCCTTTTGAGAAAGGAGGGAAAGAAGGTACTTTCCAAGATGAGAGTTGCTTTCTCACAAGTTCTCAATTTAATGACAGTTTAGAATCAGTAACAGCATGTCTGGAAATCAGAAATTGGGCTTGGAAGTGAATAAGTATCCAGTCTGTCGTCATGTACTGGGGTTGAATCCCACATATTGGGCATCAGATTTCTCAGCTTCCCTGGGAAAGCTGTTGTGGTGTGATGCCATCTCAGCTGAAATCTTACTGAGAATCCGGCTTTGCTGCAAATAAACCTGACATGTTCATGTTGCTGTTACCAAAGATGGAGGGGAATAATGACACGGGGAAAATATTTAATGGAGCTAAACTAGGCAAAAAGCCTCGTGCAGCCCACTTGAGGTGCAGTCTCTGGAGACAGAGAACCGCTCCTTAAGAGCAATCTTTAAAGAAGTTAAAATTCTACTTCACAGTGACTAAATCATACATCCTCTAGTGGTTTGGTAGAATAGACAGATCTTGGCAATGATTTAAAATACAAATACACTTGCTCAGTATTATTTTCCTGGTCTTTGTATGTCATCCTGAAAGGTAATTTGGGCCATCAGAGGTGGTGGAAAAAACAGTCACTTAAAATTACCCTTTCTGCTCAGGACCCTCTTGCCTTGAGATACTTTTGAATCCATGAGCTGAGTAACTACATTTTCTGCTAAAGTAGTGCTTGCTGTGAATCTGTTTACCTCATGTCCTTCTGTGTGAAACCTTACCGAATTAGTGGTATCTTCCCAACATTATGGAACGAGGCATTTGGAAGAATACTCTGCAGACAAGAAAAAGGTTAATCAAGCTGTCATGAGAGAAGCATGTTTGGTATTGGCGACTGATTAGCAAGGCATAATCTCCATTCACCTTTTGTGTTAATTTTGTTATGTGTGTGACTTCCCTATCTCAGAACACATGGATGTTTGAATAATGATCCCAACAGGACTTCCACCTGATTTCTTCATACCCTCTCAGAATGTCCAGTGCCTTCAAACCATGTGGTCATGTTCTACTTCTGCTTCATTACGTTTCTTTTCTTTTCCTCCCAAATAGGTGTAACCTTCAAAAGAGCCTTCACTTCAGGCTACAATGGGATTGCTTTGGTTGTTGCTGCTTTACATCTACGTGCTGTCACCCACGTTTGCTGAAGGTGTCACCCGAGTCTATTACCTGGGGATCCGTGAGGTGGACTGGAACTATGCTCCAACAGGAAAGAACGTTCTCGCTAACCAAAGCATTGCACATAACCCGTATGTTTAATTCTATAAGAATTTAGTCTGGTGCTGGTTTAAAATAGTAATGCTATGAGTAATGTCGTGCAAGTACT